GACAGGGGCGGGAGGCTGGTGCTCTGCAGGGCGTTGGATGACTGGTGTCTGGTATAGGAAGGGCCAAGAAGACCAAGGTTCTTTGCAGACCCCGGAATAGATAGAGTCTGATGCCCTCCAGACCCTCTTCCTCAACACCCAGTTTCTGTGCTGATAGAGGCACGCGGCCATTCTGATGCCTGCTCTTGGCATTAAACCCCTATCCGCTCAAGCTGTGGGGCTCAGCAAGGCCCAGTGTCATCATCCCAGTGGGGTGGGGATGTGCAGCCCAGGCCTCTTCTCCATTCCATGGTGACGTACCTCAGGCTTAACATCTCATGACTCATGCAGTCCGGTCATGCCTGGTGTGTGCAGAGCCACTCCGGCCCCAGAGGTGGGGCTGTGCTGGGTGGAGTGTGGCAGCTGCGGAGCATCTGGTTAGCAACGCAGCCCGGCGGCTGAGCACGGGAAGGTGGGGCGGCCGGCCACCGCAACCGACCAGGGCAACAGGCCATCTGAGCCTCGACTGGGAAGGGTGTCATGAGGGCCCCATTCTAGGTCAGGTCCCTAATCTGGCCTCCAGATGGAACATCTCCCATCAACCAAGGGTTGTAATTCCTAAGCCCTGCTCCCCTGCAGGCTTTTACTCTCTGCTCCAAGCACCCTGAAAGTCATAAAAGTTCTAACAGCCGTTGCTGGGTGAGAGGCACTGTTTCCTCCACTCTGCAGCAAAGGACACTGAGCCTCAGACAAGGCTGGTGCTGGGCCCCAGACCACACAGCTTGGCCAGATCCAAACCCTAGAGGTGGGTGGGCACCAGAGAATAACCGGGGGGGTGGGGGAAGCAGGTGCTCACTGTGCTGGGGACGTGGGGCCTTGAACTGCTGCTGCCCTGACATGGGTCCACCGTGGGACATTCCATCCTGTCCAGCCCCCTTCCTTGGGACAACCTGGCCACTTTGCCTCCCAGGGACAACCACAGAAGAGATGACCAGCTGGCCCCAGGATCCCAGTCCTGAGGGCAAGACAAAGGTAAGTCTGTGGGGAAGGAGACTTCCCAGATCCAGTTCCCAGGGACACACTCTGTGGTGGTGGTGGTGGGGTGGGGGGTTTGCATTACTGGTGACTGGGACAGCTGTTTGCCCAGGACAGCTCCTGCTTGTACCTGTGGCTGTCGGCATACTTAGGAGGACTGCCACCCTTCACTCTCAGAACTGTCCTGATTCGGCCGTGAGACTTCATTACTGTCCCGTCACTAGTCCCTGGTTCCCGCACCCACGCCCCCTACCCCCAGGAGTCGGGGGCTTGGCTTATCATCATCCGAGTGGACTTGTCCCCAGCTTCAGCTCCTTGACTTTTCTTTTCTGTCAACTGGGAACACCAAGTCCTATTCTGCAGAGTTTTGAGAATTAAACAATGTAAATCTATGCTGTACTGAGCCGGCAAAGTAGCTGGGGCATAGTGAGTGCTCAAGAACAGATTTAATTAACAAAACACAAATCATTCTGATGGATTTAAAGTGTCACTGATGTCTTCGCGGCGCTTTGTCATTATGCCTTTACCCAACCACACACACACACACACACACACACACACACACACACACACACACACACACACAGAGAGCCCAATGCGGGGCTCGATCCCAGGACCCTGAGATCATGACCTGAGCCGAAGGCAGCGGCTTAACCCACTGAGCCACCCAGGCGCCCCGGAAGTGAATTTTTTAAGTCTTATTTTAATGAATTTTAATTTAAATTGCCTGGTGGGGACAGACACTTATAAAGTGGCAGTCACTGTGCTTGGCGTGTGAGAGATGCTGAATCATGCTCTGAAGGGAAGAGCTCCCGTGGCTCGCCCGTCTTGTCCTCATAGCCAAGAATAGCAGGCCTGTAACTGTGTCCATTCACTTGTCCCGCTGTCCAGCCCACCGGGGTCTGCTCAGGTTTATAGCCTTACCAGTATTGGTCCCCACACACATCCACGTTCCTGAGTGTTGGTGACCTTTCCCCTACGGACGCGGTGCTCTGCTCGATGTTTCTGAGTGCTGGACAGCCCTCTAGGGCATTTCCCTGAGTGTCCTGTGCTGAGAAAGTCTGCCCTCCCTTCCCTCAAAGGGTTAGTGGTGACCATCCTGGACGGTGCAGCTAGAGCTCAGAGCATTGCTGGTCAGAGATAACCGGGCGCCAGGGATGGAATTCCTGCTTATCTCTAGAGGGAACATTTAGGCCCAGAAAGAAATTGTGTCCCCGCCCTGGCTCCCCAGCACAGGAGCACATGGAATCAGCTGATTTGGGGTCCCCAAGACCACCCTCAGGTTCAGTGATTATCTTGAAGGACTCACAGAACAAGATAGCCATGAAACTCCCAGAGACAAGAGGGACCAGGTGTGGGGCTTCCCCTTGTCCTCTCCCAGTGGAGTCGTGGGGATGGCATTTATTTCTCCCAACAACGATGTGACAGTATGTAGGGTATGTCCACCTGGGGGGCTCCCCTGTACCTAGGAGCTGGTCACATAGACAGCTGATGGCCTGCACAGCTGACCTTAACCTTCAGCTCCGGCAGAGGGCAAACTGATCCTACGTGGCCCAAGGTACCTGTATCACCCGGTTGTTAGCATAGACTGTCTAGAGCGGCCCCAGATGACCGGTGAACAAAGGCACTCTTTTTTTAAATAAGATTTTTATTTATTTATTTGGCAGAGAGAGAGACACAGCGAGAGAGGGAACACAAGCAGGGGGCACAGGAGAGGGAGAAGCAAGCTTCCCGCTGAGCAGGGAGCCCGATGTAGGGCTTGATCCCAGGACACTTAACGACTGAGCCCCCCAGGCTCCCTGAACAAAGACACTCTTACCAAACAGGGCATTCTTAGGGCTTAGAAGTGACCTCCCAGGAGTGAGGGCAAAGGTCAGACCTCTGGGCCAAGGCTAATCCTTCAAGGTACAGGATCACATTTCCAGGGTCCCGGGCTCTCTTTGTCTCATTAAAAATGTTCCCAGGTCATCATTGTGATTCTGTTTAAAATGACAGTTTCTTCTCCACTGGGCTCCAAGCTCTGTAGATTACCAGTTATTAGCCAAGGTCATCAGAAGACAAGCAGAGGGCCAGGCGGGGTTCCTCTGAGCCATCACTCCTGGGTAGAGGCTCAGGCTGAGACCCTCCCATGACTTGTCTCCTATGTGCTGGACATTGTCCCCAACAGAGAAATAACCTCTTCAGAAATGCTCCCCCAACTTGGCCCCCTGATCCCAGGTGGACCCCAAGGTCAGAGAAGGACGATGAAAGGCAAGCCCACCTTGCCCTTCTATCCTCCCTTCTGGGCACATCTGGGATGGGTGCTTCCTCTGAGGACTTGGAGTGTTTCAGGGGGTCAGGTAATGGAGGAGTCCACGTGCCTGCGGGGTCTTGGGTCCCTCTGTTCCCCATGAGGGTCCAAGGACCCTGGGGAGGTCAGCTTGCCAAGGCAGAATCGGGCCACCAGAACCAAGTGGCTACCTAAGCATCCCCCTGCGGGGTGCTGGCTGGAGCCGAAGCTCCCTGCCCCGCCTCTAATGCCATGTCCTGGACCCCAGGGGCTGGCCAAGATCCACCTGAGAGCCCAGTTGTGGTCTCAGCTGGCGCCATTATAGGCCGCACAGGCCCATTGTACCTTGGGGCTCGGTTTGCCCTAAAATGACCTTTAAGGCATCAAGGAGAGCCCCATAACGATTTGGGCTAAGGGAACAAATTCCCCTTCTCTCTCCCAGCCTGTGACCCCGTGCACGCTGGGCTCCCCTGCCCCAGACGCTAGCTCTCTGCTCGGGGACCTGATGGACCTGATGGCATCAGCAGGGCCTGGGCATTGGCTAGAAATGCAGAACCTCGGGCCCTACCCCTGACCTCAGCTTCAGAGGCTGTTTTAACCAGATCCCTGGAGGCACACTGACATTTGCGAGGCGATTGTCAGAGTGACAGGCACTTAGAAACTCTGCTCAGCGCAGAGGCTCCCACTGAAGGTTTTCTGGTGCCGGACCCTCCCTCCCCAACATAAACCTCCTCAGCAGAGGCCCCGGGTCCCAGGCAGTGGGCCGGTGAGCTGCTGAGCATCGAGGGCGCAGCTGAGACCCACTTGCCTTGTCACGCTGGGGCCCGAAGACAGACTTTGCCAGAAGTTCGTTTCTGCCCTGATGGGCCTGATTGCTAAACCAGGAGCTCCTGGGCTGAATTAAAATGCTGATTAAAATTCAGCCAGAGCTGCCTCTGTGTACCTCTGATTATAACAGCAGGCAGATGAAAATGTCAGCCTTCACGTGGGCTCTCCCCTACCTCCCCGCCACGTTCTTCCAGGGGGAAGGTGTCATTCAGCGATCGGCAAGTATTTACTGAGCACCTGTTACGTGCCAGGCAGAACCTGGGGGCTGGGGAAGCCGTGAGAACATGGGGCCCCAAGTCCCCACTCTTGTAGGGACAGATGTCCCCTGGGGCAGGTGCCTGGCTGTGGGAGCCTGAGCATATGAGAAACCTAGAAACTAGGACCCGCCCCACATCAGGCCCAGCTGAGTGGGGGAGAAGGGCACTGGGACATGTTCTCCTTCTGCTAACATCTAGGATGGGAGTAGTTAAGGGCACAACAAGTGATAGGATGGGTGGCTTCAGCCCTGCCCCCCAGCACCTCGACCCCTTCCTGAGCATGTTCCTACCCCACGCCCCATTGCTGACACTGCCGTCCTCCTCCAAACACCCTTGTGGGGTTGGCGCGATTCCTTGTCCCATTTTACAGATAGGGGAGGGGAGCCTTTGAGACATGGAGGAAGTCCCCAGAGTTGCACAGCCAGTAGGTGGCCTGGCCCCCACACGGGTGTGCTCCCAAATCATAGGCTCCTTATTTTTGCCCCGTTCTTGGTATCTGCCTAAGCTTGGCTTGTCCCTGGGTCCCAGGAGACCCCCAGGGCAGCCGGCCAGACCTCCAGGCGGAACAGGGTGAGAGTGAGTACTCAGGAGCCTGCTGATGCCTTCCCTCCTCTGCCTTCACCTCCCACCACTCTCCCCGCCAGGAGTGGGTCACCAGCACCGAGCTCCTCATCTCCCTGGACCGGCTCAACACGTTTGGGGACGACATCTTCAAGGATCCCAAGGTGCTGCAGTCCTACTACTACGCCGTGTCCGACTTCTCCGTGGGTGGCAGGTAGGTGGCAGGCAGGACCGTGCGGCCCGGGACCCCAGACCCTGGGTGGGGGACCAAGGAAGGCAGCCGCCACGTGGGGGTCACCCAGTGGCTGCCGTGGGGGGTGAAGAAGCCACTTGAGATGCGTCCGGGGAGAGAGGAGGGGTAGGGTCCTGGTCCCCTGGGCCCGACGCTCAAGGTCTTCATGGCCTGGCCACATCCCGGCTCCGGCATTTCCCGCATCGGCTGTGTTTCCACCAGTGCTTCCACCACCTGGCGTGACACGAGACCTTCAGACCTTCGCACCCGCTGATCTCTCGGCCTGGAGGTCCTAGCCTTTCCCCTTTCTCCTCCCTCCCTCCTTCCCTGCTCCCTCCCTCCCTCCCTTCCTACCTCCCTTTCTACTTTCCCTCCTTCCTTCCATTTTTCCTTCCTTCCTTCCTCATCCTTTATCCCTTCTCTTCTGTTCCTTTCCCTTCCCTCCTTCCTTCTTTTTCTTTCCAAGCCGAGCTGGTTCGGGGTGACCACACACCGCTGCAGGTCTGGAAGCTTCCAGAGCTTCCCCTCTCCGGCCAGCCCTCCTGATGTCACAGACTGTGAAGCCTGTCCACCCCGCTCCTGCCCCAGTCTCCTTCTAATCTTGGGTGTGATCGGGCTTCATGGGGACCCGGACGTTTTAAATAAGACTTGGAGGTACCTCCGTGCAGACGAATGGCCCAGGCCACCCCAAAGCCCCACAGCCAACTCCTTGGAAGGGGCCCCAAGGGAGCAGGGGTCGTGTTTCCTCTCTCCTGTGGGAACTGCCAGTTCCTGCTGTCTGGACCCCCGGTGCTGGCTCCCCTGTGGCTGCGGGTCCCGGGCACACACGGCGGGCACACACGGCGGGCTGTGGAACCAGGGCGGGCACACACGGGATCTTCAGCAGGAACGCTCGGGGGCTTCCATCTTGGAAAGTAAAGAGGAAGACAGGCATTCCCGCCCCAACCCCAAGGGGGTGGCTCACTCTCCAGCGAACATGTCCACGCACGGCAGAATAACAAGGATGGGGCCTGTCAGGGAGACTGCTCTGCAGACGGCGGCCCAGCCCGGGTGGGAGGAGGCCAGCATCCTGGGCAGAAGGGCCGGTGTGTGTGCCTCTTCCAAAGACAAGGCTAGAAGATGGTCAGGACCGTGGACCAAGTTCATTCAGGACCCACAGGCAGTGGGGAGCCTTGGAAGGATTTGGCCAGAGTAGTGACAGGGTTTGGAAAGGCTCCAACCCCCTGACATCGCACGGGGAAGGATAAGAGGAGCGAAAAGCCAGAAAGCATTAGGAAACGGCCGCGGGAGGGGGTGGGAAGGCTGGGAGAAGCTCGTGGGTCCGCAGGCTGTCTAGGATGGGAAGTCCTCTTGCTTGTGGGCGTGATTTTGGAATTCAGGGACATTTGAGTGGCGTTCAGAGGGGTGGAAAGGTCCAGGAAGGGAACGTAGGGCCCAGCTGCCTGCACTCGCCGGGTCTGCCCCCTCCAGGCTGGGCTGGGGCTGGAGGGGAGGGGAGGTGGGGGTGTCTGTGAGGGCCCCTCCATGCCTCCTCCCCCGCCCCTCCCACGCTTGGTTCGGGTCAAACCACCCAGGAGGAGGCGCTCTCCACGGTTGGCAGGTGGTGGCAGACTCCAGCGCCTGCTGTCAGGGGGCTTCGGGCCAGAGGACATCTGGGCTCCAGCTGTCCGAGCCAGACCACCCTCAGGCCTGCCACTGGCTGGGGGGCAGGTGGGCCGGCACCCGGAGTCCCACAGTGGCCTGGAAGAATTTCATTCTTTCCCTTGGGGTTAGAGGGCTTCATGGGGGAGGCTGGGTGTTCGCAGACCTCGCTGGGGACATGGGTGGTCCCTTGTCCCAAGGCCGGGGTCACTATCTCCCAAGACTACCCACTGTCTGCCTCACCCCTGCCAGAAATGCTGGGGTGTTCCCTGCCTACCCGTGGCTCCCATGGAGAAAACAATGGCCTGTGCCCTTACTAAACCCGGTGTCCCCTAAGTAGAGGAGACAGTGGGGGTGCTGGCAGCGGTCAGCAATTTCTTAAAGTCTGCCAAGGGCAGAGCACAGAACGCAGCCTACAGGAGCCTGAGACTAGTGTCCAGGAGTGTGGGGTCTGCACGGAGCAGAACAGGGTGTGGAGTCTAGCTCTGCCACTCAGCACCTGTCACTTCAGCCTGAACCTTCGTTTCCTCATCTGTGAAATGGGGGTGGGTGTGGTCCTTCCTGCCGCGGCAGGAAGGTATGAGCTCTGCCGGGCGGGGGGCAGAGGGGAAGGCTGGAATTCAGACCTCGTGGTGGCCCCATGGGCTCACTTGTGTCTGCCCAGTTCTGCCGGTCTCCTGTCACCGCGGGAAGGTGGATGCGGTGGGAAATGGTCCCCAGGGGCCGTACAGAGGCACAGATTCACCAGGGACTTGAGTCGGGGGCTGTCCTCCGTAAGGAGCAACCACTTTCTCGCCCCTTTAGACATCAAGGAGGAGTGCGGACCAGCTGCCCCCTTCCTCCACCCCTGCCTCCACCTGGGACACTGGGATGACCTCTTTCTGGGTCTGTCTGGGCTAGGACTCCTTCAGCAGCAGCCTCGCAAACTTTGCCATTCCTAACAGCTGGCCCAGGGCAGCCTGCATGTGCCTCAGTTCTCCCATCTGTGAAATGGGTATATTAGTGGGCTCACGAAGATGCAGTGCGTTTGTCCACAGGCGGAGCTCAGAATAGCACAACGCAGCCCGCTCTCTGTTCCCATTGACCCAGGCGCATAATAGGGCTTCCCTGTAGCCCCGTCACTGAATGGTCCAATTGGGCTGCCTGGCAGTGAGCCCCTCCTCTGACGGTGCCTTCCCCAGTCTCTGGATCCGATCTCCGTGTTCCCCCAGGTGCAAGTGCAACGGGCATGCCAGTGAGTGTGGTCCTGATGCGGCAGGCCGCCTGGCCTGCCGGTGCCAGCACAACACCACAGGCACCGACTGCGAGCGCTGCCTGCCCTTCTTCCAGGACCGCCCGTGGGCCCGCGGCACGGCTGAGGCCGCCAACGAGTGTGTGCGTGAGTGTCTCAGGGCTCTGGGCCCCAGGGGCCGAGTCCCTGAGACCTGGCAGTGGGGGCTGCTCCTGCCGCACCCCCCACCCCGTTGCTGCAGGGCCGAGGAGGGGCAAGGGGAGAGCAGGAAGGGGCGTGTATTCCTCCGCCTTGCCCCTACAAAGCGCCCCCCAGACCAGTCCCGCGATGTCAAGGAGGCATCTGGGAAGGCCCCCCCACTGTTCTTTGTTTCAATGATTCCAACCGCAGCTGCTAATCAAAGCCAGAATAGAAGGCCCCAGGTCCTGGGGGACTCTGACCTGCCCACCCAGCCTCTCCCACGGCCCCCCAGGCAGCCTTTGAAGACAAGATCCCCATGTGATGTGGCTTTGACCACCAAACCTCAGAGACAGGCTGGAGACGATGGTGCCAGCGTACCTTCCCTGGGGACGTGGGACTGCACACAGCGGGTTTGGGACCGTCCATCACCGCCCGTCCCAGCCCCCACCCCAGCTTCCCCCAGGCTCCAAGCCCTGCCCTGTCCCCCAGAGAGTCACCCGAACTTCTTTGGGCTCCCCATGTGTAGCTGACCCATTGCTGGGCGCCGGGTCACAGCTGGTGGCGGGAGGGGTGTGTTCACCTGCGGCTGTCCTGACAGCTTGGCCTCTGGGCCCACCCTGGAAATGGGCCCGGGCTGCTGGCGGCCAGAGCAGGGGCCGGGAGAGGACAGCCTGTTCTGTAAACAGGATGGCGCTGTCTGCAGGGGCTTCCCACAGCCACCATGGCCCTCTTGGGGTTCTGTTGCCCTCTCTGGTCTGCCTCCCCCAGGAAGTCCTCCCTGGGGCCAAAGAGGCGGGCTGGCTGGCTCACCCATTCTGAGCCTGAGGCTGTCTCCACGGTCGGGACACAGAAAGCCAGACCATGTCTCCTGCCATGTTCTCTCCCAGTGGTCACATCTCTGTCCTCTCCGCCACCAGCCCGGAAGCTGGAGCTCCATGCCTGACCCCTCGCCCCCCTCCCCACAACCCCAAGCTCAGCCTCATCCTCTCCTCTCGGGCTGCCTGTCCTTCTATGCAGTCTATGCCTTGGTCCCAGCCCCGTCACCCCTCCTCCGGGCCTGAAGCCCCCCCCCCCTGCTCACCAGCCCCCAGCCCAGCTCCGCCCGCAGCCCGAGGCCCTTGCCGAAGTGCCAGCCCAGTTACACCCAGACCCTGGGTGACCCTCCCAGAGCCTGCCTTGCTCCAAGGTGAAGTCCGCTGACCATGGCTGCCCGGCCTCCCTGGATCAGGCTCTGCTGACCTCTTGACCCCATAGCGGCCCCCGCACCTCCCTACCCTGTCCCATGGTCTGCCCGTCACGTGACCTGACAGCCACCACCCCACCCCACCCGCTTCCTGCAGCACTGGGTGGATCTTCTCTGGCCCTCATTCCTGCCTGGGACCGCCCCCGCCCTGAGGACGCCCAGTCCTCTCCCTCCTTCAGCTCCCAGGGCCTCCCTGCGGCTCTGCCCACCTGCGGGGTTTTCGCTTGCGCGCTGCGTGCTGCCAAACCGTGGGCAGTGCTGTCCTGCCCGCCGGCCCGCCCGCGTGGGTCTCCCCCCGAGATGGCCTGAGCCGTCCCTAGCGCGCCCTCCTTTCTTAATGAATTAATGAGTGAAGGAGGCGTGGCCTGTATTCCACGCATCTGAATGGCCTCGCGGTCCCTAGGAGCCAGAGCCATGCAACTCGCAGCTCTCGTAGGGCTGGGAGGGCCCACAAGACAGCTTGGAGCGAGCCACACTGCTGCTCCAAAGGTGGCCCTCCGTGGTCTGTGCGTGCGGACGGGGCGTCGGGCTTGCCTGGGAGGGCCCTGGGTCGTGGTGCCCCCTTCGCTCTTGAGAGTCCTGTTGGGGAAGATGGGTCGCTGCTCTCCGTGTCCTTGGTCATGCTGGGCCTGCCCTTCACCCGGGCCCTGGAGCTGCCGGCTCCTGCATCACCAGGAGGCCGATTGGCCCAGACCCCCGGCCCCTCACGTGCCGCCCCCCACCCCCTGCCCGCAGCCTGTAACTGCAGCGGCCACTCGGACGAGTGTGTGTTCGACCGGGAGCTCTTCCGCAGCACGGGCCACGGCGGGCGCTGCCTCCGCTGCCGGGACCACACAGCCGGGCCACACTGCGAGCACTGCCAGGAGGACTTCTACCGCTGGAGCCCCCGGACGCCGTGCCAGCCCTGCGACTGCCACCCGGCAGGTAGCAGCCCCCGCCCCACCCCTGCCCCGATCGGGCCCCCGCCGCCCGGCCCCCGCCCCACCCCTGCCCCGATCGGGTCCCCGCTGCCCTGTGCCCTTCCTCCCCCAGGCTCCTTGCACCTTCAGTGTGATGCCTCGGGCACCTGCGTCTGCAAGCCCACGGTGACGGGCTGGAAGTGTGACCGCTGCCGGCCTGGGTTCCACGCGCTCAGCGACGGAGGCTGCAGGTGAGGCGGCCGGCTGTGTGGGGCGCAGGTGGTGGACTGGGAATGAAAGCCAGGAGGCGGGAGGGATGGGTGGTAGCTGTCCTTCCCACCTTCCTTCCATCCTTCTATCCGTCATTCCATCTTATTATTCTGGAGCCCATCTCAAGGGATCTAGAGACACCTTGTTCCCAGAGGATGTGAGACAGGGCATGAGTCCCGTGGCAGCCCGGCTGGCCTCAGCGGTCAAGGGCAGGCTTCGCATGAGAGGCACCGAGTTCTAGTGGGAGCACTGCCGAAAGACGGCAGAGGGCCTGGTGTTCCAGGCGGAGGAAGAGCGCATGCAAATGCTCAGAGGCAAATGGAAGGCGAAGGTCAGTGTGGATGAGCAGGGGCTGCAGGGCAGAAGGGTGCACGGAAGAGGAGGGTCCGGTGGGGCCTCGAGGCCTCAGGAGGAGCTTTGGACGGGCGTGAGGCAGCAGCGGGATGAGGGTGGCGGCCAGGGTAGAGGCTGCAGCTGGAACGGCTGGGAGACGTGGCAGCTCGCACAAGCGTTTGAGCACGGAGGGGCAGAGAACAGGACAGATTCCAGAGCCCCTTGGAAGGCAGAGTTGGCAGGAGGTGGTCACCAGGGAACAGAAGAGGAAGCAGGGGTGACTGCTGAGCCTCCAGGTCCCTGGGCGGAGGGAGGCCATTCGTGACACGGGGAGCACGACACAGGGAGAGGCTAGTGTGCAGTACGGGTGGGGCGTGCAAGGGGAGAGAGACAGGCAGGGGCTCCTGCGGCCCAGACCTCGGAAGGAGGCTTTAACACGCTCATCTAACTCGATCACCTGATTGAGAAACTTGCGTGACCGACAACATGAGGCTCTTAGAAACTCTGAAACACTTTTAAATGAACTTGGCTTTGGTTACAACAGGCTCTTTGTGTATTTGAGACGCAGTGGAAATGCATCGGGGTCGGATGGGGGCTCCTGGATGCCTCACGGAATACTCAGTGGGTCTAGGCACAGCTCTGGGCATGAGGCCGGAACTCACATGTGCTCCCGGGGTTTCTCTGGCCTCTGGGCCTTTGTATGTGCTCCTACCCCAGGTACCCTTCTCCCTGCAGCGCCCTGCCTCTCCCCGCCTGTGTCTAGCAAACCCTTCCACTTTCTACAGTTCTCGGCCCAGGTACCACTTCCCCAGGGAGTCTTCCCTCTACCTGTTCTCTGATCCTTCACTGCAACCTCCTTGGTGCACGTACGGCCTCTCATATTTCCTCTTAGAACTTATCAAATCACAGTAGCTACCTGTTTGCTTGTCCCTATTCAGTTGACTATAGACTCTGTGAGAGCAGGAACCATGTCCTGTCAGATGATGGATGGGTGGATGGACGGGTGGGTGGATGGATGGAGAGCTGCCTGGATGGGTGGTTGGGTCACTCAAGGCAGGGAGGACGGACACATGAGTGGGTGGTTGGAAGAATGTACAGATGGAGGAGTGGGTGGGTTGGCAGGCGGCTCACTCTTCAGGAGAGTGGGCGGGTCGCTTCCTTGGCAAGGTGGGAATGGTAAAAGCCAGGCGGCGGGCTCTTGGGTCAGCCTGCCTCCTGGTCCTCTAGGGAAGGGGGAAGGATGGAGAAGTTTCCCTCCCAGGAGGATGGGCTGTCCTCACTCTGGGCTTGCTCATCAGATACTTTCCTGCTGTCCTGTCTCCTTGGCAGACCGTGTGCCTGCAGTGAAGCCGGCAGCCTGGGCACCTGTGACCCCCACAGCGGACGCTGCCCCTGTAAGGAGAATGTGGAAGGCCACCTGTGTGACAGGTGGGCGAGCCGACCCGACCCTCAGCTTGCTGGGGGTGACTTCAGGGCTCGTGGTGGAGGAGCTGGGGCAGGGTCCGAACAGACCTGGGTGACTTCACCACCTGGTGCTCTTCCTGGGGCACCATGGGGTCTGCCGTCCTGGAGGTGATCTGAAGGTTTTGACGCTGTTTATACTCTTTTATAAAGACTTGCTTATTAGAGAGAGAGAGCGAGCGCATGGGTGGGAGGGGCAGAGGGAGAGGAAGAGAGAGTCTGACGCAGACTCCATGCTTAGCACGGAGCCGGACCTGGGGCTCGATCTCATGGCGCTGACATCAGGACCTGAGCGGAAACCAAGAGTCGGGCGCGTGACCGGCTGAGCCACCTGGGCGCCCTGCACCATTTGTTCTTGGACCCCTTCCACTGATGGTTAGAAGCCGTGACAGCCATTTTCCTTTTATATCTGAAAACGAAAGAACCAGAAAAGATAGGAGATATTCTCTACTCCGGGGATGGCAAATCCCTGATACTCCAGCCGTGCCCTCCCCGCTCACCCCGCCCCCGGGTGGACATCACCGGTGGAGCACAGTAGTCTTTCCCACGAGCCCTACTATAACCTCAGAACCCTCCTGGCCCTGCTCCCGGGGCCTCCCGCCCGCAGAGCTGCGATTCCAGCCTCTTTGCCACCTTTGTCATCCTCTCGAGGTACAAACGGAGCGTCTGAAGTTCACGAGGCAGGATTACTTTTCCAAATCACATGGTCCTTCAACTTATTCTTCTGTGTGTTCAGAGGGCCTCCTAGCTCCAAGCCATGGGGGGCTGGCGGACAAATGTGGGTTTATCTCTGTGGGCGCACACCGTCTCCTCTTCCTGGTCTTGGCTCTGATCTCTGAGGCAGCCAGTGCAGGGTCTGTCTGGGGCTCTTTGATTCTCTGGCCATAGACCTGTGTGGGAAGCCCCCGACACGGCACTATACTGTGGACTCGACCCTCGTCGGGGCGTGCCGGGTCTCTGCCGATTCAGAAGAAGCCAGTCCCAAAGCTGTGGCTGGCCCTGGCCTTGACTCACCTAGGTCAGCCCCAGGCCACCCCCTCACCTCGTCCACGTGTGACCTGCAGGCCCTGGAGTCAGGGCTCGGCTCCCTGCGGGATTTCCTTCGCTGAGATCCCCCAGGGGAGGAAACAGAGGAGTCGGGGAACCGGACCCCTTCTCCCACAATTCTGCCCCCAACCCGCCTTGCGCCTTGAGGGGGTGCTCCCTCTGGGCCTCACTTTGCCCGTTTGTGAAATGGGGAGGTTTGATGAGATGTGTTCCTCAGAGCTGTCTGGGCCTCAGGGGTCATCGACAGCTTCGGACGAATCCGATTATTCCTCCGCCCCGGCGGGCTCCGTGGGGCCCCAGGTGGAGACCCGGAATCTGTGATTGTGTCTCCAGGGCTCCTCGGAGAAACAGCTGATTCTGGGAATGGGGCAGGGACCGTGCCAGATGCGTCCAGGGTGTCTGGTCATCACAGAGAGCAAGGAAGTGCTTCATTAAAAGCAAAACCAGATGAAAACAAAAAGAAAATAACTCTAAACCAGGATGGGGTTCTGTGTCAAAAGGACGTAAGCCTGACCTAGAGGAGCTCCCTAAAGTTGGAACCAGTCTGAACAACAAAATAAATAATGACGGTATTGGATTATGACCCAAAGAATCAAACAGATACCTGCAAGTCCACACTAATACAAACAGATGGGGCGGGGGGGATAGATAACACCAGGACGAAAGGACAAATGGGAACGGCAAAAGGATTCCAAATAATAAATGTAGAAGGAAGTGGGGGAAATAGGAAATCAGTTTGAATCTCAAAGTAACCGTCGTGGTGAGCAAGAGCCACCTGATTGAGTGGGCAGAATTTTCAGGAGAAACAGGATATTTGCATAGCCCCAGGTATCTCCCCCGCAAAATATTTCGTAATTACGGTGGTGGCCCCAAAGTGGATCCACAAGCCTTTAATACCCCCCACCCCCGGCCTCCAGGGGATGGGGCGTAACTCCTGCCGCCTCTGGCTGCCCTTAGTGACTTCCTTCTGAACGCGGCCCTTTCCGTGGTGCGGGAGTGTACTGGGAGGCCAACAGTCTTGGCCGGGCTGTGGAGGTTAACGCTCCTGGTGATGGCGCAGGGGCGGCATTGACCCCAGTGCGATGTAACAAGAAGGACGCTTCGCCTCTATTTCTTCCCCAAACCCACGCGCCCAGTGTAATCATGAGACTGCATCAGAGAAACCCGAACTGGGGGCATTCTACAAAACATCTGACCAACGCCCTTCAAAACCGGCAAGGTCATGAATGACAAGATTGCTGCGTGGACCAGAGGAGGCGGCATGGTCCCGGGTCAGGTCTGGGCCAGAAAAACCAGAATTGGTGGGAAAAGGGCAGAGTTCTTACTTAATCAAGTCTGGAGTTGAGTAAATAATGTGAACTAACAAGACTTTCCTGGCCCAGTTAAGTGTACCCTCGCAAAGTCGTTGACATTAGGGAAAGCTGGCGACGAGGCCACGGGAGCTCCCCGCGTGATCTTTGCAACTCTTGTAAATCTGAAAACTATACACATATTTTTTGAAGTTTCCCCAGTGATGCTGGCTCACCTTGACCTAGTTGAGATCCCCTGAACCTCCCTGACTCACCGCCACCGCCCCCCACTGGGGGGCCTGCGCTCCTTACAGGTGCCGCCCCGGGACCTTCAGCCTGCAGCGCAACAACCCTGCTGGCTGCTCCAGCTGCTTCTGCTTTGGCCACTCCAAGGTGTGTGCGGCCGCGGCCCAGTTTCGGGAGCACCACATCCTCTCCAACCTCCGCCAGGGTAGGAAGCGCCTCTCTTCCCCCCACAGCCACCTCCCTGGGGTCTGCCTGCTCCCCGCCCAGGTGGGGCAAGCTGTCAGGTGGCCTGTGGGGTGGGCTGTCCTGCGGGGGGATGGGGCGGGGAGGGGCTGGGGTGGGAGTGGGACAGAGGGGGCAGGCTCAGGCTGCCGGGGAGGCTTCGCTGGGCTCACACAGACAGGCCATACTGTTGTGTCCTCTGCACCCTTCAGCGCTCCCCGTATCTACCTGCGCCCCTCGGCTCCCTGCCTAGCCTCCAGCAGGGTTGGGAGCTGGGTAGGTGGCAGCCTTTAGACCCTGTGGGGGAGTTCCTAATCAGTCGTGTCAAGAATCCCTTGACGTATTCCCTGTCCCCCCGGGCTGGGATTCACACTCAGTCCCCAGACTCCATTCACTGAGCCCCAGCTGTGTGCCAGGCACTGTGCTGAGCTCTTTATATCATGGAACCCATGGACCTAGGAAGGTAGGTACTGTTATTCCCATTTTACCGGAGAGACAGCTGAGGCCCAGAAAAGGCAGGTCACAGAATTCAGTGGTTGCCACTCAGTTTGTCAGCTCCTGAGTGTTGCTCTCCGCGGCCTTGCCAGCCTTCTGTCTGGGACAGGGTCCGGGGGTACCGCGGCGCCCTGGGTCCCCAACGGCGGGTGTGTGCCTGTGCGTCTTTGGAGTTAGAGGGCGATGGAGCTCGGCATTTAATCAGAGCCTATGGGGACCCCTGCCGTGCCCTACAGAGGCCCCCCCACTCCTGAATTTCCACCAGGCAGGAGGCCCTTTCAGCCCTGGGTGCCCCAGACGCGGAGGCAGTGCGCCCTCTGCTGGACACTGCGCAGAAAGCAGGATGGAGATGGGGTCCCGCCTTGCGGTCCCCTGGCAGGGGTCTAGGAGGTCCGCATCAGACAGGACTCATTTTATAGATCCTAAGAACCAAGCCATTTTCTGCTCTCAGGTTGAGCCAGGCGCTGGGTTTGGCACGTCTGTCTCAGTATCTCATGTACCTCACCGTGACCCTGAGGCCACAGTCTCAAACATTTTTCGCTCCCCCATCCCTTCATGCTCTTGAAAACACCTGAGGACCTCCCAGCAGTGTGCTTTACGTGGTAGTTAGCGTGGGTGTTTTCTGTACTAGAAATGACAACAGTAATTTTAAAATAGTCATATATTAATTTACTTAAAAATGACTGGAATAAGTGTGTAACAGAAAGATATGAGCCTGTGAAACAGAGAGCTTTTTCAAAAAGACGAAAACGGGAGTGCACTCATCAACTCTCGCACATCTCCTTACGGCTGGATTAGTAGAGCTCAGTCTGCTGCGATAGCACATGACTTGCAGTTTCTGGAAAGTTCCACCGTGTGTCAGACACAGCATGAAACATGCAGATTTCATCTCAGTGTTACTAGAAGGTAGCTGGAGCTCGCGGGTCCCCTGAAAGTCTCCGGCATCTCCTGGGGTCTTCAGACCAACTTCGAGAACTGTCGCCAGGGCCAGAAATACTCCACTGTCCCCGTTTTGCAGATAAGGAACCGGCTTCAGAGAGGTGACGTAACTTGCCCGGGGTCACACGGCCAGTGAGAGGCAGAACTTAGTCTAGCACTGGGGAGCTACAGACCTCTTTTTGACCCCTTTGCCTTCATCCCGCCCTCCTCAGCCCTCCGGTGCCCTGGGGGTCGGGCCTCCACCCCCCTTCCCAGCGGCTCCCTTGAGGTCATTTGCTCTGTGCCAGACTCTGCTTGGTGTACTTGGTGTATCGCCATCGCCAAAGGGAGGGTGGACAGGACAGGGGATGGGAAGGTCTGGGTTCTCATCCCGGCTTAACCACTTCCTAACCAGGTGGTCTCCCTCAGCACAGTGGGGGCTAATGACACACGCTTCTCAAAGGACAGGCAGGGTGAGGTCCAGGGTGAGCAACTTCTCTGAAGACCTGAAGATGAGGTCAAGTCCAGTACTGTTAGAGACCCTCCCGATGGCTCAGTGCCCCATGCTGGGGTCTCCAGACTGTGCCCTCCTATTGTATTCAGGACCCCCTGAGGGGGCCAGGCAGGCTCAGAGGTCTCCCCTTGCCCAAAACAGAGCTGGGACCCTCAGCTTTCTCACGTTTCGGGGGTCTCCCTCCCTCCCGGAGACCCCCATCCTGACTCTGGGGCGAGGGTCTGAGCTGGCTGGCTGTGGGCAGCACGGAGCCACTGCTAGCACCAGCCGGCTCTCGCCGCCCTCCCAACCCCCACTGTCTCTAGAACAGTCTCTACCCCAGGTCCGTTGTTTCAGGCTGGCTCAGGCCTCTGGGAGCCATCTGTGGGCCCCCCCGGGAAGGGTGGTGTGAAGAAGGAGGGGATGGAGGCCACCCTGCAGAGCCCCACACGTGCGTGTGCGTTTGCCATCCAGGAGCCCAGGGCTGGCGGAGAGGAAGTGTGGGGGGCCCGGAGCATCCCATCCAATGGAGCCCGAGGGGGCTCCTCCTGAATCCAGAAGACGAGGAAGAACTCACGCTACCAGGTACGTGTCAAACCCCCCCCCCACACTGCTGCTTTCTGATCAAGGCCTTGCCACCAGGCCCCCCCAGGCCCCAGAAATCCCTATACACCTCCCATCAGCCTCTCACCCCACCAGGCCATGGTACCCTCCGCACAGGGTCCTGGGATTCTTGCAAAAGCAAGTTCTAGATTATTCTGAACCGTCCCCCACTGAGTAGGGCAAATTTCGACTCCTGGGAGCTCTACCAGACCTGGAACCAGGATCCGGGAGTCCATTCTTAGCTCTCCTATGGCCAGATTCCGGGTCCACTGGCTCCCCCGCCCCAGTCCTGCCCTTGACCTCCCTCTCCAAGAAGGGTCAGAGCGATGGTGCCCCGATGTCTGGCTTGCTCTGTGGACACGGCACCTGGGAGGAAGCGAAAGTCACAGGACCCCAGTCCGGGGACGGGTGCTCCAAGCTCAGAGGCCAGAGAGCACAAAACACACTCTACTCCGTGGCTGCTTTGTTGACAGGCTTAAGAAAAAGTAGTTTTTTGCTTAAGAGGTATTTGCTGGGTCCTGCACTGGGCGCTGGGCACTGGGCACAGTGTGGTGGGCAAGGCAGGTGGACGGACTCAACCAGTTTTATTTCACGTCTTGATGCGTACCTCGATCTCCCAAGCCCCTCTGCCTCCGGTTGGTTGCTGAGTGCGGGGCGGGGGGTGCGGAGGGAGACAGGCAGGGAGGGGCCCTTTCCTGCCACGTGGGGGTTTTCAGCTGAAGCACTTGAAAGATACAGAAAAATAGCCCGAGTTTGAAGGCCATGATAGGGCCCCTGGTCCTCCGTGTTTCTTAGGATTCCACCACCTTCTCTGTGCTTGAAGCATGTTCTGACGCCCGTGGGAAGCGTGGCCTCGGGGCGGTCAGCACTCCTTCTTGGCCACATGTGCAGCAGGCTTACCCCGTACGTGCTCTGAGCCTCACTAAGCTCCCCCAGCGTGGGGCCAGCAGAATGTGCTGGTGGGGTATTGTGAGCACGAATGGGGAAGGGGACAGCAGGATGCCACCACTGTGCATGACACGTGTGTCTGCTCTGCCCCCGGAGACTCCATTGTCCCATCAGACTTCACTTATAAAACCCAAGCCCAAGACAGTGACAGCAGAGCAGTAAGCCAGGCATGGGTCCCTGTGTTATTACAGGGACATGGGGACATGAAGCTGGCCTGTGGGGGCGTGGGGAGGGTTGGGGGCAGCTAACCTCAGCGTCTCCTGTCCAGGGAGCCTTTGGCTTTCTCCCTGCTGTCGCTTTATCTTGTCTGAATATTTAATTGTCAATAAAATCAATACACCGTAGACACTTATAATCTTTAAAATCAAGCTAATTAAGTGAAGACAAGCCTTCTTGTCTTCAGAGAAGTTCCTGGGAGACCAGCGGTTCAGCTACGGACAGCCGCTCACACTGACCTTCCGGGTCCCTCCTGGGGGCTCCCCGCCCCGCGTGCAGCTGAGGCTGGAAGGGGCGGGCCTGGCCCTGACTCTGAGGTGCTCCGGCCTCCCCCTCCCCGGGCCCCCAGACTCCCGCCAGCCCAGGGAGGTGAGGCTGAGGTTCAGGTAAGTGTCCTGGTGTGTCCGGAGAGGTGGGGGATGGGCAGTCAGGGTGGCCCCTGAGGTCTGGGCGCACTTGGGTCCTCCTGTGGTCTGGGGCTCCCACCCTCTCTACCCCTACCCCCAGCCTCGGCTTCCGGTTTGACCCGCGCCCCTGCCAGGTTGCAGGAGACCTCCGAGGACGCGGACCCTCCGCTGCCCCCCTTCCACTTCCAGCGGCTGCTCGCCAATCTGACGGCTCTGCGCATCCGGGCTGGCGGCCGCGGCCCAGGCCCTTCTGGTCAGTAATGATAAGGACAGCCCCCCACCCCATCCCCAGAACCAGCCGGGCCCTAGGGCTCCTTTGTGCCTGGCCTTGCCGATTCCCCACGGCAGACAGTTACCACCCCTGTTTTACCACAAAGACATCTGAAGGTCAGAGGAGTTGGATGCTCACCCAAGGTCATGGAACTGGGAAGGGCCCGGAGGGTAGACTCCGAGGTCAGAGGCAGGGACTGGACAGGTGAGGGGCCCGAGGGTGGACAGCTCCAGGAGACAGACGTGTGTGGTCACAAAGCAGCCAAGAACCGTTGGGTTTCATCAGGTCATGGCCGAGGCCACCACTGCCGGAAGGCGGGACTCCGAGGGGCTTCTGGGGGTGCTGGGCCGGGGGTGGGGGGGTGCAGGTGAGGAGCCCTGAATTGGCGCCTCCTGCTGGTCGCTGGTGGTATCGCATCTAAGCTGTCCTGGGAGCGGATCTGCCTTCTGAACCTTCTCCTAGTGGGGGCTGGGTCAGGACCCAGCTTCCAGGGGGATTTCTCACCCTGCTCACACGGTGATCGTCCTGATGGTCCTCTGACGTCCTGGCTCCTCCCTCTCTCTTTAATGTATTCTTCCCCCACACACACCCATACCTGTATGTGCCTAAACTGGACATCTCCAGTACCCCCATTTAGAAGGGGTGTCTCGCATGAAACACCCCTTTACTGAGCAGAAGGGAAACTTGGACAGATTATAACCTAAATACAACTTTTTGAAGCCCATATAGTCTCCTGGTTGTGATCTACAGAGCAAATAAAAGGAAAGTAAGTGACATATGAAAGTAATCATTGATTTCCAAAGGGTTAGAGCTCAGACGGCCACACTGGGCGACAGAAGAAGGTAATCAGAGTTTCCCCCACTGCGGGGGACAAATAAGTGTGCGTGTGGGAGAAACCGAAGCCCGGGAGCCGTTTGCATGCATGGCGAGCAGGGAAATTCTGACGTGGGGGCGTGTGTGGTTGACGGGAGAATAAAAACCAAGGTCAGGATCGGCCGTCCCCAGGCGGACTTACTTGTGCTTCTGTTTACAATGGAGTTGGGGGGGGGCGCCTGGGTGGCTCATTGGGTTAAGGCCTCTGCCTTCAGTTCAGATCATGGTCCCAGGGTCCTGGGATCGAGCCCCGCATCGGGCTCTCTGCTTGGGGGGGCGCCTGCTTCCCCTTCTCTCTCTGCCTGCCTCTCTGCCTACTTGTGATCTCTATCAAATAAATAAATAAATAATCTTTTAAAAAAATAATAAATAAAATGGAGTTGGGGGGCGCCTGGGAGGCTCCATCGTTAAGCGTCTGCCTTTGGCTCAAGTCATGATCTCAGGGTCCTGGAATCAAGCCCCACATCGGGCTCCTCGCTCGGCAGGAAGCCTGCTTCTCCCTCTCCCACTCCCCCTGCTTGTGTTCCCTCTCTCGCTGTGTCTCCCTTTCTGTCAAATGAATAAATAAAATAAAATAAATAAAATAAAATGGAGTCAGGGTCTGGGCTCCCATGTTCGCAGAGGGGCTCCCTGCCCCTTTTGGAACCCAGCCAGACCTTTGAGGGTCACGGGGGGAGTTTCTCCTCATGTCAGTTGTCTGATAGCCCTGTCCTGGTCTCTCCATCCTTGTGACAACCACAACAGCCACAGATTTGCTTCTAGGGGGGTGACTGGCTCCTTTTGGGAAACTTTGACTTCCAGGGCCCCTTCTAGCCCAGGCTTGGGTGTAACCCAGCTCCTCCTGCCTCAGCTCCCTTGTTCCCGTTGGAGCCTCACCCTCACCATCCTTGCCCTCGCTTCCCAAAACCTCCCTGCTCCCCAGGTCACCGTGCTGGGCCTCCTTACAGGAATTTCATTTCTGCCACTCAGCCTTCAGTTATCAGATGTTCACAGAACACCGACTTGGGCCAGGCCCGTGCTGGGTGCCAGGGCAAACCGAAGAGGCAGGTGAATATAGCGACCGTCTCTCTCCACCGAAACCCAGCCCCAGACCTCCTCTTCCCACTGAGGAAGTTCTGGGCCATCTCTCTCCCTGCTCTTACTTTTTACAGCTAACAGTGGGTCCCGGCGGCCGTGACTTGTCTTACACATAGAAAAGACTGGCTGTCCGGCCGCTGCATATAGTTCTGTGGTATCGATGCTCCGCAAAGTTCAACCATCCCCTCATCCCTAGACATTGAAGTGGGTTCTGGTTTTCACTGTGCGCACAGCACGGCAGAGGACAGGGAAGAGCTCCATGGAAAGGTCTTTATCTCCTTGTGCAAGTCTGTCTCGTAGCATCGATTCCTCAAAAGAGAAATGTTCTGTCTTAGGTCAAAGAGGGCACATTTTCAGTTTTGATATCCGCTGCCAGATTTTCCTGCAGAGAGGCGGCACCCATCTATGTTCTCAGGGCACGTGCCCACCCTCCTCCCTTGTCTGCCCGCTCTGGTCCTTCTCCAGTGTTGATGGATCGTTATTGTTATATTTTGCCCCAAGATTCTAGTTGTTTTCTGCACCATCTCTCCCTGTCGTTGATCTTTATTTTTGTGAAGGATTTTATTTATTTTGAGAGAGAGCAAGCATGAGCAGGGGGGAACAGCAGAAGGAGAGGGAGAAGCGGACTCACTGAGTGTGGAGCCCGATGTGGGGCTCACGGGGCTCGATCCCAGGACCCCGAGATCATGACCTGAGCCGAAGTCAGATGCTTAGCTGGCTGAGCCACCAGGAGCCCCTCCTGTCATTGATCTTCCGATGCTTACCAAGCTGAGAGTCGTGAATGGTATCCTCGTCGTTTAAATTTACATATCTTTAATAACCTGTGAGAATGAACGTCTTTCATTAAATTCCCAGCCATATCCATTTTTTGCTCTGAAAATCACCTTATTTTTCCTTTGCCCTTTTCTTTCTTCTTCTTTTTTTTTTTTTTAATTGCAATTGACTCATAGACCGCCTTTCCGTATGTGGGTCAGTGACCCTCTGCCTATTACGTATGTGAACAGGAAGATCTCAGGGGGGAAACATGTGCCTATAACCCTCTTCCTCTCTATCGTCCTTCTGCAGGCCAGGTGTTCCTGACCGAGGTCCGGCTCACATCCGCCCAGCGGGGGCTCTCTCCCCCAGCCTCGTGGGTGGAGACCTGCTCGTGTCCCAAGGGGTACACAGGCCAGTTCTGTGAGTCCTGTGCTCCAGGGTACAAGAGGGAGATCCCACTGGGGGGTCCCTATACCGACTGTGTCCCCTGCACCTGCAACCAGCACGGCACCTGTGATCCCCACACAGGTGAGTCCTAGCACCCCATCCATAGGGCCCTGGGGCGACTCCCGGCGCAGCCGACGACCTGATCAGGGTCAGCTCTGTGCATACACGAGCCATCGCCAAGAGCGGGACTCACGAGATGGTGTCATCAGGGTCCTCCATGTCCCGAGACCTTTCTATATGCGTCCCGTCTTACAGGCGAGGGACCCAGCGTGCAGGGAGGCCGCTCTGCAGGTAGGTGGCAGAGCTGCTCCTGCCACAGGTTCACTGCCAGAGCCGCACCTGTAGGAGGAAGCGCGAGGGAGCCCTCGACCAAGGTCGCCTCGCAGGAGGTGCCGGATGGGGGTCTCTCTCCACACACGGGGCCTCTCACCCCGGAAGTGGGAGGGTCTGTGCCCCGATGCTGTCCTGGAGCAGGTGAGGGGGGCTCTCTGAGAAGGGAAATGATTGTGCCGGAGACTACAAAGGACCGCAGCCTGGGAATCAGCAGATGAGCGAGCGGGGACAGGCACATGCCGCATACGAGGGGCGTCCTCCCATGGTTTGCCGTGGCAGGAATCGCTAACCGAGCCCCGACGAGCCCCCCATCCTGCCCTGCACTGCTCTAGGCAGCCCCTGCTGAGGAGCTTGGCACGGCCGGTCTGTCACCCGTCAGAGCCCTCAGCCGCGCCATGACCTGCTGCCCTATGTGGGCGAGTCCTCACCTGGCTGATGGGCAGAGCAGCCACTGCTGCTCACACTGGATAGAAAGAGGAGTGAGCACTTGGGTCTGGGCCAAGGCAGGGCCCCCAGAAAGCAGCGCGGCCATGATGGTGCCCCCTGGATTGTCCATCCTGAGTTCCCTCTGTGCCCCACTACCCCCCTTTGCCCCCGGGGTGGTGCCGGGCCTCCTGGAAGTGGGGGTCTTGCATCACTGAGCCCCTCTCAGCCACACTCTCCTTCGGTCCCTGGCCGCCGAGCCTCCCTTCCCCAGGGTAGTCTCTGAGCAGACTGCAGGTGCTGGAGAAGGGGGGTTTGCACACCCCCCCCAGCATGACCAGCCAGTGGGCAGGGGTCTGTTCCATGAGACCAGGCTACCTCCTGGAACCTGCAGACCCCATACATGGGGAGTGTCCTTGCAAAGTCCTGTCAGGAACAGACTCCTGGGTCTGCGTCACTCTTGCTTTTGGCCCCCGAGGTTCAGAGAACACAGAGTAAGGGCAGGAAAAGCATGAGTGCAGACGTGGGTGGGCCATCTATTGGTTCGCTGATAGGTGCTGGAATGCAGGATACCACCGATCACAGCCCAGGTCACTCTGAGCCAGCGACTGTGCGGGGCACTCTGGCCGTCCGCGGACGAAAACTCCCAAGGCCAGAGCCCCTGTTGTGTCCATCTTGCAGGGGTGAACACTGAGGCAGCAGGTGTTAGATGGGTTTCCCAGCTCCACATGGTCAGTAAGTGGTAGACCTTTTCTCCCCAGGCTGTGCTGCCCCCCACTTAGAAGGTTTCCACCCCAGTTCTGCTGGGGTTGTGCTCTGTGACCTCTGTGACCATCTTGTGACCAAGACGCCCCCGTCTCTGGAGCCTTCTGGGCTCAGGTGGTCTCGTCACCAGGTGCTTGTCTTGCCCCTCAGGGATCTGCCAGTGCGGCCATCACACCGAGGGCCCCTCCTGTGAGCGCTGCTTGCCAGGTTTCTATGGCAACCCCTTCGCAGGCCAGGCCGACGACTGCCAGCCCTGTCCGTGCCCCGGAGGGTCGGCCTGCACAGCCATCCCAGAGAGCAGTGAAGTGGTGTGTACCCGCTGCCCCCTGGGCCAGAGAGGTGAGTGGCTCGCACCCTGGGGCCCTGCCTCTGTCCTGGGCTCCAGGAGTGGGGTCCTGGGTTCGGAGCGTGACAGATGGGGGAGGGCCTAGCTTAGGAGTGGCAGGCCTGACCTCTGGGGCCATGGCCAAGGCCCCAGGCTGCTGTGGGCTCCTGGCAGAACTGGAGCAATTAAGCATATCCAGGAGAGTTTTTGAAAATCCCTGTCTGAGCCCTGGCCCTATAGAGCCTGATCTGGTAGCTCGAGATGGGCCCTAAGAATCCACATGCATGACAGGTGCTCTGGCTAATCTGACACACAGTGAAGGTAGAAAACCTCCGATTAAACTCTGAGCTTTTATTATTTTTATTTATTTATTTGTCAGCGCGAGAGAGAGACAGAGAGCACAAGCAGGGGGAGCAGCAGGCAGAGGCAGAGGGAGAAGCAGGCTCCCTGCTGAGCAGGGACCTGACACGGAACTTGATCCCAGGAATCCCGGGATCATGACCTGAGCTGAAGGCAGATGCTTCACCAACCGAGCCCCCCAGGAACCCCAAACTTTCAGTTTTTAAAACACGTTGCCAGATGTCCTATGAGGCAGAAGGTCCCCCAGCGCCTGCTCCAGGACCCGGGGCCACCCTCGACAACTGATTCTTTTTAACAGCTCTTTTGAGATATCATCTCTGTGTACCTGACAATTCGCCCACTCTAAGCATACAACTCAGCGGTTGGTGTTTTCTTTTTGTATATCCCATTAATAATGTTTTAAATGACGGCCAAAAGGGTATAACACAAAGTCTCAGTTCAGCCACACGTGAGCGTACGCTTTGGCGGCGTGAAGCACATTCCCGGCTGTCCTGCCATCCCCACCGTCTGTCCCCAGAACTAATTCATCTTCCCAGAGACTCTCCCCATTAAGCAGCCCCCACCGCCCCCCTCCCGTAGGCACCGTCCTACTTCCTGTCTCTTTGCATTTGACCCTTCCAGGGACCTCACGTGAGTGGAACCCTCCAGTGTTTGTCCTTCTGTGTCTGGCTTGTTTTGACATAATGTTGCCAAGGTTCTCAGACATCTGATTGCGTGTGTGGTGACTGTGGCTGCCTCAGGACAGCCCATCACGTCTGTCCCATCAAAGGCTGGCCTTGCTGGGGAGCACTCTGGAAGCAGCTCCCTGCAGCCAGCTACAGAGTGGGGAGGGGCAGGGCGGGGGACCCAAGACCTGACAGAGCCAGGTCCCACCTTGGGGACCCTGCACCCCATCCTGCCATCAGGCTGTGCCTGACTCCCCCCGCTCTGCAGACATGAGGGCGACCCTCTCAGTGGGTGTGGACAGTTCAAGACGTTGGGTCTGGCCCAGGCTGAGATGTGCCCAAGGAAGGATTTTGGGGGAGCAGGGCGCTGCTGTGCATGAAGGGAGCAGCCCCCTGGGAGGGTGCTCAGGTGGCCGCCAGCCCCTGCCTTCACCACACCAGCGCCCTTTGGGCCTTGCTGAGGAAGAGGGTGGTGGCCATGAGGCTGAGGAGGGTGACGATAGGGACTGGGTGGTGACACCCCCTCCGCTGGGCACTTAGCTTGGGCTGGGAGTTGAACACTTAACCTCACCAAGCCCTCAGACGTGGCTGGCCTTATCGTCCCCACTATGCAGACGAGGAGCCCGAGTTCAGAGAGACCCCAGGGCTGGTCTAAGACACACAGCCAGCTGATGGCTGAGCTGGGCCCTGGCCCTGGGACTATGCCCTGCTGCACAGGGAAACCTGAGGGATGCCCACCCTCCCCGCCTGGGAACCCCGCAGCCTTGTGCCTTGGGCTGGCTCCTCCACACACAGCCTCCCCCCCTCCCCCCAGGGCGACGCTGTGAGATCTGTGATGATGGCTACTTCGGGGACCCTCTGGGGCTCTCTGGGGCTCCCCAGCCCTGCCAGCGGTGCCAGTGCAATGGGAACGTGGACCCCAACGCTGTGGGCAATTGCGACCCCCTGTCTGGCCACTGTCTACGTTGCCTGCACCACACGACCGGGGCCCACTGCGAACGCTGTCAGGACGGCTTCTACGGGAATGCCCTCGCCCCTCGGCCTGCAGACAGATGCACACGTGAGCACCCACCCCCCGCCCTGCAGGGGACCCCTCTCCACCACACCCAGCCCGCAGCTCTGGGGGACTGTGCAGCCTCAGGCAGATTCCTCACCTTCTCTGTCCCCTTGTCTGGAAGGTCTAAGGGTTTGCTCTCCTCCAAGGTCAAGGACTCTCTCAGCCTCGTTCTAATCAAGGCCAATCCTGTGATTTTTTCGTTTGTTCTTTGCCTTGATAATTTCGCAATTATCTCAAGCCCCACGGTTAGTGCCTAGGACTGTCCTCGGTGGCAGACAGCACCTGTCATGTCAGTGCTGCCCCTGGGCTTCCATCAGGCTCTCCCTCTCCCCTTAGCACTCAGTCCCCGGCTCGCTCAGAGAGCCACAGCGTGCCTCGGCCCGTGGAAGGCTTCCGGAAGTGCTGGAGGGAGAGGATGGCGTTGCCCCCAAACTTACTTGCTCCAGAGCGCTTTCTCCGCCTTCTATGGAGCCCAGGAGAGAAGGGTCAAGGGACCCAGAACAGTGGGCACATGGGTCCCCCCCGTGACTCCCTGGCTGGGTCTCTGGCCTTCTCTCCAGCCGACTGGGGTTCAGGGCAGGCTCGGAAGAGCCATCTGTCATGTGATGATTCTAGGCTGTCTCTCCAAGGACATAGGAAATGGGATGAGAGTTGAGCACGGGTCTAGAGTCTTTTTCCAGAAAAAGCTTAGGATCCTGGGTTGAATGTGAGTCATCCCTGTGGGCTCCCCATCTTCTCCTGGACCCCCAGAGTTTGAGCCGATGATCTGGTGATTCCCCAACACAGTTTCTGCTTCCGTCCCCAGCCTGCGGCTGCCACCCCGAGGGCTCCGTCAGTGAGCAGAGAACCTGTGACCTGGTGACCGGCCAGTGCCCCTGCCTGCCTCATGTGATGGGAAGGGACTGCGGCCACTGCAGCCCTGGCTTCTACGACCTCCAGGCCGGGAGGGGCTGCCGTAGGTGGGTAGGGTGAGGTGGGGAGTGCCCTTCCCTTGGCTGTGTCTCCAGGATAGGAGAAGCCCAGGGAGCCCCCAGAGGGGAGATGGGTGTAGAATGTGTCATCCAGGCCCCCTGCCAGGAACACTGTGCCCTGCCCCATAGGGGGACAAAGGAATGGTCCCTTCAGTGGTCAGACTCGTGGCCCTGCCAGCCCAGGACGCAGGCCAAGCACAGCCCTGAGGGACATCTGGGTGGGCAGGAGGCCGGTTTGGTCTCTGATTCCCTGCTCAGTGACACCATCCCTCCATGACCTTTTTGGCCAGAGTGGCACCTTAATGTCTTTAGGGAGCAGTGAAGGACCACAGGAAAATGTCCAGTGCAACAAACAGGCTTCTTCCTTGCAAGACTTCTCAGAGCCTTTAATATGCTAATTGCATTGTGACTTTCCAACAGAGGGGTATATATAATCTGCAAGATTTATAGGTCCCCATAGCCCTTTCTGGGGGGAAGGGGTAGCATTTTTGTGAGACTGTACTTCCTAGGACACAGCTTGGAATAAGCTGTTGGACGTGTAGGCACCTGGCGATGGGGACTTGCCGGCAGAGGGTGTGATCCCAGGGCTCCTCTCCGGCTGCGGCCAGCCGAGGCTGGGTGGGGAGCGGCCCAGAGCTTGTCTCCCACTCAGGTTCCTTCCCTATCCTAGCTGCACGTGTCATCCGCTGGGCTCCCAGGAGGACCGGTGCCACTCCAAGACTGGGCAGTGCCCGTGTCGCCCGGGCGTTGAGGGCCAGGCCTGCGACAGATGCCGGCTGGGTTTCTTTGGCTTCTCCATCACGGGCTGCCGAGGTGAGGAGGCTGCATGTGTGCCGGCCGCCCCGGGGGGCTTGAGGTTTCTGGACAGAAGAGCCGCTGGGACTCCAGCCATGTGGCCGGGGAAGGAACGATCGGCTACTTTCCTGTAGAAAGGCCTGTCTTCTAAGAGCGGCCATAGGTACAGGGAGTGAGAGAGTTTAGGGAACCAAAACTCTAGCCCCAGGATTCACTGCTCAGTTGCCGTATGCTGGGGCCATCAAGTTACCTTTCTGGGCCTCCGCGTCCCTCCCTGCATAGCTGGGCTGCCTGGTCGTTCCTAAACATGGCGCCTGCTCAGACCCAGGAACCCGGACTAAGTCAGTCACCACCTCTGACATTCTGACTCAGTCTTCCCGGAAGGACCCAGGAGTGTGGTTGAGCTGGACCTGGGGTTTCTGGAGTGGCCAGGCGTGAGGATGCAGGCAACGTGGAGGTCCCAGTGCCGGGGGGAGGGGTGCTATCCACCCCGGTTCCCTCAGCCTGCAGGTGCTCCCCATTGGGCGCCGCCTCGGCCCAGTGCCACAAGAACGGCACGTGCGTGTGCAAGCCTGGCTTCGTGGGCTACAAGTGTGACCGCTGTCAGGACAACTTCTTCCTTACGGCTGGTGGCACACGCTGTGAGGAGTGCCCGTCCTGCTACGCCCTGGTGAAGGAGGAGGTGAGCCCACCCTACCTCCCATCACTTCACACCCCCCCATGAGTGCCCCCTCTGTACTGGGCACCAGAAATGCCCGCTCAGCCCTGGCTCTCAGGCCTTCTGGGGCCACTGGTCACCTTCCGCCTGCGCCCACCTAGCCATCGGGCCGATGTCAGCCCCACTCCCCCCTCACTTCTGCCCATCCCTGGCTTCTGAGCAGACAGAAGAGTGCCTCGCACCAGCTGTCCTTCCCGAGCACCCACGCCCATGTCTCACCCTTTCTTAAGATCTGCGGGGATGAGACAGTAGAAGGCCCTTGGTGGGGAGGGTCAGGAGGAGGGCCATGCCCGTTCTGGGGCACAAGTAGAGTGTTGAGCAGGGAGCTGGTGTGGTGCGGAGGTCAAGAGCGTGAGCTCTGGGGTTCCCCTCCCCAGCCCCTTTCGTTGTTCCCGTTAACAGGTAACAGGTTTGGTAAGTTTGGGTGTCTCTCCTATTCCACAGTGGAAACAGGCCTGCAGCCCTTTCCCTGAGACCGGGGAGGCCAGCCATCAGAGTGAAGGTGCTCTAGAAAGACGCAATGATGGGCGCTGAGCATAAGCGGCCCCCCGGGCAGTGCCTGGGCCAGTCCCTGCGGTCAAACCCAGGGATGTGTCTGCGGGAAGATGGGCGAATAGTCACACCAAACAAACAAACAAGGGCGCAAACAGCCTTGTTCAGAACAGTTTTGCTTCCCAATGAGTTAAGAATTTTGTTTTTTTAACCTGGATTTTGCCATCAAATAGGGAATGGAAAGACGTAGGGTTTTTCAGAGCATTCTGGACTTTTGGAATCAAAGAGAGGGCTTGGATCCAGCATCCCCTGGCCCTTGGGGCCGTTACAGGGTGAACGTGATCAGGTGCGTGGCTGGCAGGTGCTAACAGCCGGCTCCTGGCATGTGCTCTGTAAATACAGTTATTGTTTGTGTGGCTAAAAGAACAGCGCTGGGAGACACTGCATGGCACACTCACTTGGCCAGCAGGTATCCAGGTGCACCTTCTCTGTGGCAATACAGCAGGACAGACAGATTCTCCTGGGGCTTCCCTTCTCATCCCACTCTAAGTGGAACAAGGATGTGGTCCACTGAATGGCAGCAGGTGCCGTGGGCGTGAGAAGGGAAGGGACCACTAGGAGGAGGGGGTGGGCAAGGCTGCTTCTCCAAGATCTGCTGCATCCTCAGCTTTGATGCCCTTGATAAGATGCGAGAAGCCAACTGCTAACCAGGGAAGGCCAGGCAGAAGCCAGGGGGAGGCGTCCAGCACGACTTCAGGCAGCCGGCCTCACATACCCTTCTTTTCCTGACTCCTCCAGGCTGCCAAGCTGAAGGCCAGGCTGACCCTGATGGAGGGGTGGCTGCAGGGGTCTGACTGTGGCCAGCCCTGGGAACCACTGCACATTCTGCAGGGAGAGGCCCCACGGGGGGACGTCTACCAGGGTCACCACCTGCTGCAAGGTACAGTGAGAGAGAAGAGCGGGAGGCAGCGGGATGGCTGGCTGGCCAGACACACCCCACCGGCCCTTTGGTCTGCTCTCACGATGCTTCAGAAGCTCTTGGCTCGGTCCTAGAAGAAGTCACTTTCTGGGAGTGCCTGTCTGTCCTCCCCAACTGCATGGGCTCCTCCCATGACAGTCTTGTCTCTCCTGGATCTTTCCTTCACTGTCCCCCACCCCGTTCTACTTTGTAACCTTATGAATACTAGTCTCTGACGAGAGCATCTAGCCCCAGCCACACCCAGAGCACAGGCACAGTGAGGACAGGGCTGGAGTCGTTCACTGGTTCACGGCGCGACAAATGCCCACCGAGGTGCTGTCCTGGGTGCTGAACAGGTGGCCTGTTGCTGTCTTAACCGTTGGCCATTTTGCTCACTCCCCAGCATAGAAAACCAGTGGATGGGGGCGGAGGGGGAAGCTGTTATGAGAGTCAGGTGGAAACTGGCCTCGGGACACTGCGATCTGGGGAAGCTTGACAGTGAATTGATTCTTCTGTGTAATTTTATGTTCATAAGCACCTGTGCTCATCTCACAGCCAGGCATAGGTAAGCTGAGCACCTGTTAGCAACGCTCATTATCAGAATAGGGAGCTTCTGGGGGCGCCTGGGTGGCTCAGTGGGTTAAAGCCTCTGCCTTCGGCTCAGGTCATGGTCCCAGGGTCCTGGGATCGAGCCCCGCATCGGGCTCTCTGCTCAGCAGGGAGCCTGCTTCCTCCTCTCTCTCTGCCGGCTTCTCTGTGATTTCCATCTGTCAAATAAGTAAATAAAATCTTTAAAAAAGAAAAAAAAAAGAACAGGGAGCTTCCAGATGCTCTGGGTTAAAAGGTCCATACTTGGGATCCCCGGGGGGCTCAGTTGGTTAAGCATCTGTCTTCGGGTCAGGTCATGACCCCAGAGTCCCAGGATCAAGTCCTGTATCGGGCTCCCTGCTCAGTGGGGCATCTGCTTCTCCCTCTGACCCTCTTCCCACCATGCTCTCTCCCTCTCTCTCTCTTTCTCTCAAGTAAATAAATAAAATCTTTTTTTAAAAAGCCCATCCTGAGCCGCACTGCAGATCGCAGAGCTGACTCGAGGCAGGTGTGTTTTTGCGGTCTCAGATTTGGGAATTGCTTGTTGTGGCTCTAACCCGTCTGGATTCCTTCCAGCCCCTCCACTGTGCTGACTTCCTGTGTGGGAGACCTTGGGCTGTGACTGGCCTCTGCTGGGCCTCAGCCTTTGCATCTGTAAAATGGTGAGGCTCTTGCCCTAGAACTGACTGGTGGTGCTCAGGTCTGGTGATAGAGCTCAGCTGTGCCAGGCAGAGTTCAGGGCACAGATGGGGGGGCCCCCCGAGGGTGAACGTTTGATCAGGAAATTTCAATTGCTCCGTGACCCCTGGGCTTTGTGGGCTTCATGCAGGAGCCCGGGAGGCCTTCCTGGAGCAGGTGACCGGCCTCGAGGGTGCAGTGAAGGCTGCGCGGGAGCAGCTGCGGGCGCTGAGCAGGGGTGCCCGCTGTGCCCAGGCCCAGGCAGAGAAGACCTGCATCCAGCTGGCAGAGCTCGACGCAGCGCTGGAGTCCTCGGAAGAAGAGATTGTGCAGGCGGCCATCGTCCTCAAATCTCTGGTACCCCGGGGGCCCCTCCCCACCACCCGCCCCGGGCTCCCCTGGCGATTGATCTGGTGGCCCCTGGTGTGCCTTTTTGGAGAGGCTCAGTTTCCTCACCCGCAGAATGGGTGTCACGCAGTACCCCTTGTGCTGACTCAGTGGGATCACGTCCGCGTAGACGAGGGCACGTTCCAGGTGGACGGTGAATGCCCATTGAATGAGGACTGGGCGGCATTACCGTCCTTGCCACGTTCTGGGGCTCTCTGCTCGCCAGATGCTGACTTTGAGGCTTTATGTAGCATTTTCTTTTAAAGATTTTATTTATTTATTTGACAGAGATCACAAGTATGCAGAGAAGCAGGCGGGGGGTGGGGGTGGGGTGCTCAGAGGCAGGCTCCCCGCTGAGCAGAGAGCTGATCTAAGCAGAGAGCCGATGCAGAGCTCCATCCCAGGATCCTGGGATCATGACCTGAGCCGAAGGCAGAGGCTTTAACCCACTGAGCCACCCAGGGGCCCCTTTATGTAGCATTTGTAGAGTAACTGGCACAGTCCGGTTCTCCCAGTAATTTAACCGAATGAGGCCCTTGCCCTTCAGGGATGCCCTCAGTTTCTCCTCTCTCCCTCGCTTTAAAGGTGATTCCTCAGGAAGGGTCCAGCCAGCCCACCACCTGGAGCCCCCTGGCCACAGAGGCCCGTGCCCTCGCCAGGAGGTGAGCCCCCAAGGCCCGGGAGCCTGGTCCTGAAGGGAGCCCCGCCCTTTTCCTGGGGGTTCTGGGGTCAGGGTCAGCCTGACAGGTGTCCCCCTGCCCGGATTCAGAGCCAGACCGTGCTGCTCACCCTCTTCTGTGACGGCTTTATTAGGGCGACCGTATCATTATTGTCCAAACTGAGACTTCACGTGCGACGAAAGGCCCCACAGATCACTGTGCAAGACAACGGGCATAGGTTCTGTGTAACAGGAGCAGGGCCGTGGGTCCCTGCCCATCAGCCTTTGCTGTGTCAGGCAGAGGGAGGGGAGGAGCCTGGCCCTCGGGGCCAGACTCTGTTTGGGACTGTGGGAGGCCCACATGGTGGGAGGGGTGGGTTCGGGCCCAGGTCCCCTTCTCTGTGAGCTGTTGCTGAAGGTCAGGTGGACGTTTCCTTACAGCCACAGGGACGCCACTGCCAGGATTGAAGCCACGGCTCAGAGGGCCCTGGTCGCCTCCAACACCAGCTATGTGCTTCTCTGGAGTCTGCTGGAGGGCAGGGTGGCCTCGGAGGCCCAGCAGGACCTGGAGGACAGGTGAGGCCTCCCGGATGTGGGTAGAAGCTTGAACCGGCCTCCTCCAGCTGCTGGAGGCTGCTGGTCCAGAGCTGGCTTCCTTCCCGAGTCCTGATGTTCTTTGGGTGGGGGCGGGGGAGATATCTGAGGTCTTGGGCTCACTGGGTGGTGAGTTACAGGAGCCCTCTTAGGCCTGGGGGTGCAGCTCAGTCTCTAGAGAGAGGGGATGAGGGCCTGAACCAGGAGGGTCTAGAGCGGTATCTCTCTTTCTCACCCCTGCATCATCCCCAGCCCCATCCCCGACCTCTACCCTCCTCCCAGCAGCTCCTCTCAGACACCAGCTTCCTGCTTGGCCTCTGCTTCTCTGCCATGGGTGACCCTCCTATGTCTTCTGCAGTGGAGGGTCAGGAGAGACACAGCAAGGTCTCAAAAGTCCCAAGTTGACTTCCTAGATGAGAGAATCCAATTGGCCCACCTCCAGTCAGATGGCCCACACCCAGTCCCCTGGCATGACTGGGGTGAAATCACATGACCCCCTCCCGGGGCAGGATTGGGGGCAGGGGCTGTCTGAGAAGTGGGGAGAGATGAGAGGTGGCCGGAGGTCCCTGCCCCGGCAGTGTCCATGGCAGAGCTGGGCGGGGAGGGGGTGATCAGCTGGGTGGGACAGGGAGCTGTTCTAGGTGGTTGACTACACCCCCTTGGATCTCAAGGGGCCCCAGAGCTCTCCGTTCATCTGGAGAGTGTTTGCCCAAGGTCACCTGAGGGCACAGCAGATTCAAGACCAGGGCCTGGGCTTCTGTCCCTTCCCCAGCACCAGGCACTTTCCACTTAGTGATTCAGCCAGAGGCTTCCAACATTTGCAAAGCAGATGACTCGAGGGTGGAAACCAGGGGCAAGCCCCTTCAGAAAAGAGTGCTCGAATTGAATGAATGAAGAAACAAGAATGGGCGCCTCTCCTGCCTTTTCCATTCATCCGAGAGCTGCCCGGTAGCGGCCAATTTCCGAGGCCAGCTGCTGAGTTCTGACATTGAAGAGGGCTCCAGGCGGGGGTCTGGGGGTCAGCCGTGGGGAAGGATGGCCCCGTGCTCTCTGCTCTGTGAGCCACCTCTGCTGTCTCCTCTCAGGTACCAAGAGGTCCAGGCGGCCCAGGAGGCGCTGGGCAGAGCTGTGGCACAGACACTGCCCGAAGCGGAGAGGGCACTGGCCGCCATGCAGCGAGTCCGTGCAGACGCCGCCCTGGGCCTGGCCTCGCCAGCGGCCCCCTCAGCACTGGTCAGCCCCGCTGGCTGCCCCGGAGCTCAGCCTGGGGTGGGGGTGGGAGAAGGCGGCGGCTGGAAAGCCGGTGCAGCCCAGGCCTGGGCAGATGATGTGGCTTATTTTTAAGTAGATGGCAGTCAATTAAAACGAGCCGATCCATCTCCGTGGCTTGGCCTTGTGCCTGCCTGGCTCCGAGTGAGCGCTGGGCCAGGCTTTGTTGTGGGTTGTGGTGACAATAGTGAGACCAGGCGTCTTCTCCGTTGTCGTGGCATTAGCAAAGGCACCAGACAGACGTGGGATCAAATCCCAGCTCCGCCGCTCCAGATCTGTGACCTTGGCCAAGGACATCCCCTACTCCCCAACCCGTACTTCGGTTAGGTCCTCCGTCAGCTAGGGCTCGCCCATTCGGTTATCTGAGGGCTGCGTCTACAGGGCTGGGAGAGGATTCATGAGTTGTGGGCAAGGTGGCCCTAGTGCTTGTCGGCCCCCCAGGGAAACCCGCTCCATCACATCTGCCTAGTAATCCTGAAATCCCGGAACTTGGAACCTGCCCTTTAAGGAAGAGACTGAGCTTCTACAGATATATTTGGGGCAAAACCTGACGGGCCCGAGGCTGCTTATTTGTGCTCAGAACCCACACAGTTCTGCTTCTCTCAGGCCAGGAGGATTCTGAATGTGGAGGTACATCCGGCCCCAGGTATTCCGCTGAGACTGTGGGCCTGGGGAAGGAAATGCAGGTCAGGGAGGCCTCACGTATAGTAACTAGTAGAGCTGGAATAGAGACAGGTTCCCCCACCGGGCGGCCCCCGCCCCCAGCCCCTCTGCTTCCAGGGTCCTGTCCCCAGCATTCCCGCTCCCCGGGTGCCTCTCACCCACTAGGGGTTCTGCCCCTCAGACCTTTCTGCCAGGCCCCACCTGAGCCCACCATCTCCCTGCAGCCTCAGAAGTCCCAGGTGGGGGCCCTGAGCCAGAAGGTGCAGGCCCTGGAGGAGACGGTCGCATCCAGAGAGCGCCGGGTCACTGAGGCGGCCCAGACCCTCCGGGCCACCGCCCGGGCCATGCTGCGCAAGATCGAGCCCTTCACACAGGTGGGCTCCTATCCTCTGAGGCGGGCACCTGGTGGGGTGCTGTCCCAAGGGTGTCCTGGAGTCAGGGGGTGCGGGGGGGAAGGGCAAAGACCAGAAATAGTCTTTCCCATCACTCCAGTGTCTCCCGTCTGCAGCGCCCCTGCCCAGCCTCTCTCTTCTCTCTCCAGCTACGCCAGGAGGCCAGAGACGCCCTGACCCAGGCTTCCTCATCCGTCCAGGCAGCCACAGTGACTGTCACAGGAGCCAGGACCCTGTTGGCCGACCTGGAAGGTACGCATGCCTTGCCGAGCCCGAGGCTTCTTGATGCACAAATGCCCGTGACCACCATCCGGGCTCCCGCCTCAGCCAGGCCAGTGTGGCCCTGGGGACAAGAAGGGGACAGAAGTCCGGTTGTGGGGGCATAAGCCAAACATTCCATTCCCTGCCCCACCCCAGCCAGGACCTCTCCCGTGGCTGCTGGTCTTGCCCTCACACGCCGCTCTCTGGCATCTCGCCTACATGGCCATCAGCCATCAGACCACACGCAGAGCCCATCAGGACCAAGAGGACCCGATGCCCTCAGCTGTCCGTCCCTGGTCTAGTCTGCTCTGACAGGGATCCTGTCACCTGGTACAAACACCTATCACGTCCGGGGCTCAGCTGGGGCCGTGGGGACGGAGACAGACTTCCCTTGAGAAAGGGATGTGGGTTGATGCCAGTCCAGGTCTCCTCGAGCTCTAGGAAAATGAAGCTGAGTGGTCCCATTTTATAGATGTGTAGACCAAGGAAAGGGATTGACGACTATCCCTGGGTCAGAGGTGCCCTGAAGAGAAGCTGTCTGGTGTTAGGGTTCTCCAGCTCCGTGTCCCCCTCCAGAAGGAGCTTCTGTGATGGCTCTTTGCTCCAGAGAGAAGCCCCCTCACCCTTTATCTGTGGCTCCGCCCAGTGAACTGGGTAAGGCAGGAACACAGGCAGCCCCAGAGGCCCCTTGGAGTTTGAGACTGGGAGTCAGGCTCTGCGTTCCCCTCGGCTCCAAGGACTTCCTCCCCAACTCCATTGCTGCCACTGAGAGATGTGGCTCCAGCCTCGGCCTCCTGCCCCCTGGGGCAGAGGGCGAGCTGGCCGGTGCTTCCTGTTCTCTAGGTTTCTCTGTGGTGGGAGGCCTGGCCACCCACCGACCAGGGGACTTCCGACGGGGAGGCCGTGGCCATGAGTACTTGCCTCTAAATCGTGTTCAGTAAATTCTGTGATACTAGTGATGGAATATTAGGACTTCTGAACATTAAAATCGTAAGGCTTACTAAAGCCACCTGCTGCAGCCCCCTCGGCGGGCAAGGGGCTCCTCCACCCTCTGCTTCCCTACTTCCAGCAACGTGTGCTCACCAGCCCACGAGCTATTGCCTTCTCGCTGGGGGATGTACTGTGTGGAAATCTGCCTCCTTGGTGCAGTACCTCGGTCCACGTGAGGACTCATCTCAAACTGCTAACCCCGAGCTAATTTCCCCATTCCTACCCCTTTTCAGAGACACCCCCTCTCACCACCAGTCAGTCTGTGCTCAGTGGGTATTTAGGATGAAAGGAAAATTCATCGAATATGGAACAGCTTTCCCCAAGGGGGTGGCCCTGGGGCCTTTATCCCAAGACAACCAGTCGGTTTGTGTTTAGATAAGTTTAGGAAATGTTGCTACCATAGTGCCCTCTCGAGGCCATACGGTGCATACCTTATGATATTAAAGGTCCTGAGAAGTCCTGTAACAAAGAAACCTGGTTCTCTTTCTTTAAGTTTGACGTTTCCTCCTGATGTTTAGTAACACCCCGTAGAGTTAGCACTCCATGGAGTGCATTTTAAGAAACACCAACTTCGTGTACGAGAAACAAAGTAGATCTAATTTCTCGGTTATCTTCATGGAAAATTACGTGACATTCTGCCTTGGAAGGCTTGATTCATTTTAAAATCTATCGTTAGAACTCCCAATTTCCCTTCAAATTTCATCTGAAAGAAAAGGAAAAAGTCTCTCTTCTTTACAGAGGGAAGCCACTTCTTAATAGGTAATAAAACCTACGCAAATCATAATACTTCCCTTTTTGTCTTGGCTGCTAGGAAGCTCAGAGGTGAACAGAGCATTTAGTGCCTGAGATGTCATTATCCTAATTTTCTGGCCCTTCGCACGCCTCTCCTTCCCTCCTCATCCCCTCCCCGCGTTGCTATGGTCCTTGCTTTTTCACTTCAGTGGTCCGGTTGTTAACGTACCTGTCGCTGGCACTATAAGCTGCTTCAGAGCCTTTTTAGACATAAGGGAGGGGTACAGAGAAGGAGCTGAATGGAGTTTCTGGGTACTGAGGTGTGGCTCCCCATCCATTCCCAACCCCGGCCCAGGCGTCAGCCAACCGTGTAATCTCGCGATTTTAACAAACACCACGATGTAACATGAATCTTTAAATTCACTGAACGGTGCGTGTTGCTCATTACTCGCTTGACTCCCAGAGAAGCTTCAGGAGGTTTCCTGGAGATCTCCTGCCCCCAGCACCTCCCTCCCATTGTCTGGGGACCGGACGCAGTGGCTACCTGGCAGGCTCTCAGGGCAGCGGCCGCCCTCTTGACACCGCCTGCCCTGGTTTGCAGGAATGAAGCGGCAGTTTCCGCAGCCCAGGGACCAGGCCGCGCTGGGGAGGAAGGCAGGCGTCGTCAGCGACAGGCTCCTCGTAGACTTGAAGAAGAAGACCAAGCAGGCGGAGAGGATGCTGGGCAACGCAGCGTCTGTCTCCTGCAGCGCCAAGAAGAAGGGCAGGGAAGCCGAGCTGTTGGCCAAGGACAGTGCTAAGGTCAGGGCCACGAGTGTGACGACGTCCTTGCCTTCTGGACCCGTGGGAAGACTGTCCTGGAAGAAATGCCCCTTCTGTAGGTGAAACGGGGTCCCCACAGATCTGCCCCCATCCGCGTAGACCATGCTGAATGCTCCGCACTTACCAAGGGCTCAGGGGGGCCCAGGCCAGTGACCCTGTTGGTTCCTCAAGAAATAGGTATCACTGTTGTCGCTGGCGTCCTGGGTGTGGACCCCGAGGCCCGGTCCGGGTGACGGACTTAAAGTCCCATGGCCAGGACTCTCACCGAGGTCTGTTTGCCTTTACTCCCCCAAACCTCTAAGCTCTTATTTTTTAATTGGGGCCAAAGTCCAGTCTGTGCGTCCCTCTGGCCCCCGCTGGCTCTGTGCGTGTCGCCAGCGTCCAGTCCGTGTTTGTGAAATGAACGAATGATCCGGGGCTCAAACTGACGACCGCTCGGCATCACGGCCGTCAGTGCTCTTTACTTCCGAAAGGGCTCAGTCCGCTCACCCTCTTCCCCTCTACTGCTGCCCACCCCCCAGCTCGCCAAGGCCTTGCTCAGGGAAGGCAAGCAGGAACACCGCCGGGCAGGCCGGCTCTCCAGCCAGACGCGGGCGACGTTCCGACAGGCCTCCCGGCAGGTGCTCGCCTCACAGGCCCGTAGACGGGAGCTGGAGGACGCAGAGCAGGTATGTGTGCCAAGACCCCCCACCCCAACTCCCATTTCCTCCTGGCCCCCGAGCCAGTGGGGAGCCGGTCAAGCTTTCCCTCCCACCCTAGATGGGTGCCAGGCTGAATTCCTTGGAACAGCAGATCCGAGAATCGCGTGCCTCCCTGGAGAGGGACGTCCAGGCCTTGTCGGAGCTGCTGTCCAGGCTGGGTAAGGAGACCCCTGGGTCCCTGGAGCACCCCCAGGAGCTTCTGTGAGGCCCAGTCCTAGAGAAGCTTTCCTCCTCGCCCCCCGATACCCACGGTCCCCCCTCCCCAGCCACAAGCATTTGAAATAGCCCCAGGCCATCCTGCAAGGTGGGGCTGGTGTCACTGTGCGCCTCCAGGGGCCGCTAGTCTGGCGATGCAGGGGGCAGGGGGGGAGCACAGAAAACTCAGCAGATGGAACGCCTGTGGGGACCACAGGAGCAGATGGGTTCTGCGTTCCTGAGGGTTTCAGAGGAGGAGAGAGAATGTCAGAAGCAAGGATGGCATCGAGAATCAGACCGAGACTCAAGTCTGGTGCTTTCCCTTCCCTGGCTGTGTGACCTTGGGAAAACCACTGTGCCTCTCTGAGCCTCAGTTCCCTCATCTGTAAAATGGACGTAAGCACCAGCGTCGTGTAGAAAGTGCTTGCCACCTGCGTGGTGAGAGCCGGTGAGCAGCTCTCAGGGAGGAGCCTCAGCAAGGAGGCCTCTCAGATGAAGGGGAGAGCACCCAGCAAGGCCCAGAGGCCACAGAGCAGGGCGGGGGAGCGGAGGACAGTAGCCATGCATTTTCCAAAACCGTGGTAACATGCATGTAACACAAAATTGGCCATTTTAACCATCTTCAGGCACACAGTTAAGAGGCATTAAGTACATTCACACGTGGCACAGCCGTCTCCGCCATCCGTCTCCATAACTTTCCCGTCTTCTCAAACTGAAACACTGTACCCATTAGACACAAACTCCCTATGCCCCAGCCCCTGGTACCCCCACCTGGGACCTCTTTGGTCCCTGTGAACTTGACACTCCAGGGACCTCATGTCCCTGTGTCCTTCTGTGACTGGCTTCTGCCCCTTAGTGTCACGTCCTCAGGGTCACCTACATAACAGCACACATGTGGCCTCATTACTAATAAGGGGAAGAATCACCATGTTCCGCGTCGTGCTTGCATGCCGGGCCCTAAGATTTGCGTGCTCGTGATCTAGAATGCTCTGCTTGGGAGGCGAGGGCCCGGACTCTCTAGTCATCTTGCGGACAGGTAGTCTGAGGCACAGAGTTTAAGTGATGTGCCCGGGGCCCCATGGCCAGTCAGTGGGGAAACTGAGGTTTGCACACAGGTCTGACCGAATCGGGGTGCCCACTGGTAGCCACTGGTCTGTTCCCGACGCCAAGGACTCAGAGCACTGGCCGCATTGCTGTCTATTGCTGTGCCTGAGTTGGGGGCGCAGGCATGAGCAGCCCCCAGAGGGCCCCTGCCTGGGGGCCCCTGGAGTGCAGGTGGAATGTGGCTACAAGCTGAACCTGAATCTCGAAGGCCAGGCAGTTGGGGCCTCCCCGTGGATGGGGTCTTTGCTGGGAGCGGGATCTGCCCGGGCCAGCGGCGCTCAGCTTCCCGATGCCTCCTCCTGCCCACCTCCCCGCCCCCAACTGCCTGCCCTCTGACCCCCACCTTCGTTGCCCAGGAAATTTGGGGCTCAGGGGAGCCCTGGCCCCAGTGGGATCCTGTGGGATTAGAAGCCATTTAGAACTTACTTCCCCATCCCCAATGGCTGAACCTCATCTTCCTGTTAAATGTCACCCATAAATGACAAGGTGACAAGGCCCAGATGGGGGAGACAGCCCGTGGATCCCATGCCACCATTACCACCACCAAGTTCAAATGTGGGCACCGGGCCCTGCCTCCTCGTTTTACCCTTGATGAGGCTCTGGGAAGTGCTGAACTCCAAAAAACAGAGTTAACCCATGCTGGGCCAGGACGAGACCCTTGGTGCCTGCTTACGGGAGCCGGCAGCCCCTCCTGCCCCATCCGCTTCCGCAGCCCTCATTCTAATGCCAGGGACACTGCTTTTTACCCCCGTGGCGGTCCGCGTCTCGGCACAGGAGGCATCTTTAAATGCATGCTCTCGGCAAATCGGCATGGAGCCATGGGGACCTTGTGCCACACACGGCTTTAGGAAATGGGCTCAGGACCCACGCGGGGAGTTCTTTTTATTAATAACAGTAGTACCGTGACAAAAAGGAACCGTTGCCCAGCGCTGTCTAGGGGGAAAGTTCCAGAGTCTTCATGTGTACCCATTGGGGAGCCCAGACCAGACACACTGCCTTCTCTGTCCCTTGCTTTCCTGGCAGATCATGGGCAGTCACAATCCTGGAAGGTTTGTGTCTCCAGAGGTCTCGGGGGTGGGCGCTGAACGGGCACTGGGGCCTGCGGGAGAGCTGGTCTCTGCTGAGGCCGTCTGTGCCCCTCTGCAGGGTCGCTGGACACCCATCAGGCCCCAGCCCAGGCCCTGAACGAGACCCAGTGGGCACTGGAGCGCCTGAGGCTGCAGCTGAGCCCGCCGGGGGCCCTGCAGGGGAAACTGAGGCTGCTACAGCAGGAGTCGGAGCAGCAGGAGCTGCAGATCCAGAGCTTCGAGAACGACCTCGCTGAGATCCGTGCCGACAAGCAGAACCTGGAGGCCATTCTGCATAGCCTGCCCCAGAGCTGTGCCAGTTGGCAGTGAGGGCCGCCCAGGACACCCCTCCCCCAACACTGTGGCCCTGGCCAGGGCAGGCACATGCACCCCACAGGTGCACCCTTGCAGACACACCCCCCCAGAGCCTGCGGCTGTGTGCCCACCCCAAGGGAATACTCACGTAGGCTTCCAAGTCCACAGCCACGTCCCCTCCGTGCCCGCCAGAGTCCGTGTACATATACAGTTCGCCCAGGCGGGCACTCCCAGGCCATGATGCGTACACATGCACACCCCAGTGTCAGGAACACATGCACACCTTGTGGGGACACGCCTGTGTGCACAAGGCACACACTTTCGCCAGTTCCTCTGTGCATGTACACGTTCTACTCAGTTCACAGCCGGTTCCTGGGTACCCTTTCTGCCGCATGCCCTCTGGATGCTGGGGGGGGTATGTTAATTACCCTCCGGCACCTCCACGCTCACTCTTGCTTCTGAAGGCGAGGACCCAAGCAGAGTTGGTGCCTGAGAGGCTGAGGGGGCCATCTGCAGGGATCCAGGCTGGGCTGGGCAGGAGCCAGAGCCACCGGCCCCAGGGCTGCCCGTGGTCCTGCAGCAGGTCATCCCAGGACACCTGCCCATCGCCCACTCCACACAGCGGAGGGACCAGGCAGACCAAGAGATGGAAGATCCTCAGCAGCAGACAGGGGCAGGGGGCTCTCAGCAGGGGAGCTTGAGGCCCAGGGACCCCCAGGGCCGGGGTGCGGCCTCCTTGGTCCACCAGGAGGATGGCCCAGCCCTGCACGGTTTTCACTGGTTTCCTGGAATGCTTGGTCTCGGGATCCTGGGAGTCGCCTGCCCTGGGCCCAGTGCTCCTTTCAGCCTGTGGCCTAGCCAGAGAGCTGAGCCTCAAGGGCCTTAGCAGGCCTGGGTCAGGGGGACTAGGGTGCTGGGGGAGCTCCTCTTTGGGACCCCAAGACCCCTGTCAGCCTTTGATTGACACTGGCTCTGAGGCCCTGTGGCCGCACTTGCCACCTGGGAGGTCCCTGCTGGGTGTGGCAGCCTGGCTGTGGCTCCAGCCTGTCATGCTGGGGAGCCCCCTGTGGTCAGGCCCCCTGCCAGCCTCTGCCCAGGATTCCTGGCATTTCCTCCCTGAGCTCCTCCCCATTCCCGGGGCCCTCTTCCCACCGACAACAGGCCCTTGGCCCCGGGACCCCAGACCCAGGCCCCAGGAGCCCACCTCCCCTCCGGGGCTCTTCCTCCTGCAGGCGGAGGGGGCGGGGTGGACAGGAAGCAACATGGACTGGTTCTGTTTAATGTGAAAATAAAGGACCTCTTTACTAGCTGGGTGGCATGCTTTTGGTCATCTCCCGCTGGTTGGAAGCAGGGGCCCCGGCTGTGGTGTGGACTCACTGTCCTGGCATGTGGGTGCACACACCTAGCACCCAGCGGGTGGGTGGAGGAATGTTCAGTGATCTCTCTTGGTCCACGTGCAGTAGCAGGCAGGTGGCAGAAGTGGAGCTTACTGGTTTTGCCAGGGTCTTCCCGTGGGGGCTTGGCTGGGGTCTGGCGGCCATAGGCACCTGCTGTCCCACCTCTGCTCCGGGGGGGTTTGTCAGGCAAAGCCTAGGAGAGCATGAGGGGCCCTCGGCTGATCTCTGGTTCAGGCCGGAGACAGGGAAGCAGGACATCGTGAACTCAAAATCAAGTGTCTCTCCACTCAGAAATGGACACCAATGAGAAGAAGAAGGGCTTTGGGCCAGACCTTAAAGGGCGGGGAGTCAGAGGGAACATTCCAGGCAGGAGGGTGGGCAATAGCTCAGGGTTCACAGGGTGGGGGCCTGGCCAGCACAGATCACCCAGAAAACCCAGGTTGCATCGATAGGATGGACTATGGAACATGGGCAGTCTAAGCTCTTGGCCACATAGTCTGAAGCCCTTTCAAGTTGGCATAATTAAAAAGGGGAGTTTGTTGGGAGGACGTGGGAGGCTCTCCTAGAATCCTGGGGTGGGAAACACTGCCAAGCCTCCGGGGACTCTCCTGTCCCCTCCCTTCTAACCCTCTCCTTGCCTCTGCCCCCCACCCCCATGTTTGCTTCAGTCTCCTACCTCCCCACCCCGCGCGCAGAGCAGCTTTCTTTGCTCTTCCTGAGCATGATGGAAGAGGATGCCCGCACCCCCGGACCCTAGTCCCATTTCATCGGTCCAACCCAGAGACAAGTTTGAAACTGTCCTGATTACTCCCCCAAAAGACAGACCCAGCTTAGGCCAGGGCCCCCAATTCCTAGTCAGAAGAGCGGTACAAAGCCATATACTGAGAGCTTCTCTGTATCCTCTCCAGATCTGTTGGGGGAGAGCATTCCAAGAAAGAGGCCGGCTCCTCCACAGACAACCTGAAAGCCAAGGCCACGGCGAGTGAGGGTTGTGTGTGTGTGCATAATGTGGTGGACACCGATGACCCAGGGAGTGACTGGGTAGATAGGAGAGGAAGGACAGGGGCGGGAGGCTGGTGCTCTGCAGGGCGTTGGATGACTGGTGTCTGGTATAGGAAGGGCCAAGAAGACCAAGGTTCTTTGCAGACCCCGGAATAGATAGAGTCTGATGCCCTCCAGACCCTCTTCCTCAACACCCAGTTTCTGTGCTGATAGAGGCACGCGGCCATTCTGATGCCTGCTCTTGGCATTAAACCCCTATCCGCTCAAGCTGTGGGGCTCAGCAAGGCCCAGTGTCATCATCCCAGTGGGGTGGGGATGTGCAGCCCAGGCCTCTTCTCCATTCCATGGTGACGTACCTCAGGCTTAACATCTCATGACTCATGCAGTCCGGTCATGCCTGGTGTGTGCAGAGCCACTCCGGCCCCAGAGGTGGGGCTGTGCTGGGTGGAGTGTGGCAGCTGCGGAGCATCTGGTTAGCAACGCAGCCCGGCGGCTGAGCACGGGAAGGTGGGGCGGCCGGCCACCGCAACCGACCAGGGCAACAGGCCATCTGAGCCTCGACTGGGAAGGGTGTCATGAGGGCCCCATTCTAGGTCAGGTCCCTAATCTGGCCTCCAGATGGAACATCTCCCATCAACCAAGGGTTGTAATTCCTAAGCCCTGCTCCCCTGCAGGCTTTTACTCTCTGCTCCAAGCACCCTGAAAGTCATAAAAGTTCTAACAGCCGTTGCTGGGTGAGAGGCACTGTTTCCTCCACTCTGCAGCAAAGGACACTGAGCCTCAGACAAGGCTGGTGCTGGGCCCCAGACCACACAGCTTGGCCAGATCCAAACCCTAGAGGTGGGTGGGCACCAGAGAATAACCGGGGGGGTGGGGGAAGCAGGTGCTCACTGTGCTGGGGACGTGGGGCCTTGAACTGCTGCTGCCCTGACATGGGTCCACCGTGGGACATTCCATCCTGTCCAGCCCCCTTCCTTGGGACAACCTGGCCACTTTGCCTCCCAGGGACAACCACAGAAGAGATGACCAGCTGGCCCCAGGATCCCAGTCCTGAGGGCAAGACAAAGGTAAGTCTGTGGGGAAGGAGACTTCCCAGATCCAGTTCCCAGGGACACACTCTGTGGTGGTGGTGGTGGGGTGGGGGGTTTGCATTACTGGTGACTGGGACAGCTGTTTGCCCAGGACAGCTCCTGCTTGTACCTGTGGCTGTCGGCATACTTAGGAGGACTGCCACCCTTCACTCTCAGAACTGTCCTGATTCGGCCGTGAGACTTCATTACTGTCCCGTCACTAGTCCCTGGTTCCCGCACCCACGCCCCCTACCCCCAGGAGTCGGGGGCTTGGCTTATCATCATCCGAGTGGACTTGTCCCCAGCTTCAGCTCCTTGACTTTTCTTTTCTGTCAACTGGGAACACCAAGTCCTATTCTGCAGAGTTTTGAGAATTAAACAATGTAAATCTATGCTGTACTGAGCCGGCAAAGTAGCTGGGGCATAGTGAGTGCTCAAGAACAGATTTAATTAACAAAACACAAATCATTCTGATGGATTTAAAGTGTCACTGATGTCTTCGCGGCGCTTTGTCATTATGCCTTTACCCAACCACACACACACACACACACACACACACACACACACACACACACACACACACAAAAAACCCTCAAAGTTTTCATATTTTTCTTCCAAGAGTTAAAAGTAGAGACTGGGGAGGCTGGCCTGCCTTCTACCAGCGCCGCGCGCCCAGGGCCACCGTAACGTAACAGCGGCGGGTGCTGGAGCGCGCGCTCGCGGCCACCGGGACCCTAGCTGATCCTCTAGGATCCCAAGTGCGTCCCCGCTTTCTTTCTGGGGACATCGCGGCCCGGAGCGGGAAAGGGGCCCGGGGAGGTCCCGGGCAGTGCATTTTCCGCGCCCTCCACCAGAGGGGCGGGCGGCGGGCGCGGCGTCCCGCATAATAGGCGCTTTGATGCCGGCGGCCGGGTGGCGGGGCGGGAGGGCCCGGGGCGGGGGGGCGGGGAGAGGAGGGCGGGAGGGGTGTGTCCGGCCGCCCGCGCCATCCCTCCGCCCCTCCGTCCCGCCGCCACACTCCGCCGGAGCTCGGACCCGGCACCCGTCCCTCCTCGTCGTGCCTCGCCGCGGCCGCGTAGCCCCGAGCCGGCGGGAGCCCGGTGCTCACCATGTCGCTCGCGCTCAGCAACAGGTTCCAAGGTAGGCGCCGCCGTCCCCGCGCTGTCCCGCGCCCCTGCCCCCCCCCCCCACCCCGGCGCGGAGTCCCCCCGCCCGCCACCTGCGCGCGCCGGACGGACGGCGGGGTCCGCGGCGCGGGGCCGGGGGAGACCCCCCCCACACACACCAGCTTCCCGGGCCGCCTCTTTGTCTCCTGCAGGAGGGAAGGCGTTCGGCTTGCTCAAAGCCCGGCAGGAGAGGAGGCTGGCCGAGATCAACCGGGTAAGCGCGCGCCGCCCGGGGTCGGCTCGCGAGTCGCCCCCAAATATCCCAGCGCCCCTCAGGTCCCGCCCCCGTCTGCGAGGCTGTGCCTGCCGCAACATCAACCCCCTTCTCTTCCTCCTCTGGGCTTCCCCGGTCTCCTCCCCGGCCCCCGCCCCGTGCCTCCGACTCCAGGTAGGTCCCCCTCCACCGCCTCCGCCGCCTCCACCCAGCTCGGCTCCCGCGGCTCGGGTTGCAAGTTGTTACTCTTAGACTGGGGAGGTGGGGCTCGCCCGGGAGCTTTGATGCCTCCGGGCCCGGCCTCCCCGGAAGCCCGCCTGGGACCAGCGGCGAGAACTGAGTCCAGGGAGGGACCCCCGATGTCTCTGAGCCGCCCCTCCTCCCCGCTCCCGGTAGTACACCGCGGGAGGGAATGGAGGCCCTGAGAGGCTCGGTGGCTGCCCCGCGATGGCCCGGCAAGTCCAGGTGGGGCTGATTTTAGAACCTGGGGTCCAGACTGCCGCGTGGGTGCGCCCTCCCAGACAGAAAATGCAAGGCCCCTCCCCCACCCCACCCCACCCCACAACTCTTTTCCCACTCCAGCTTTTAGGAAAGGTTCCCTGAGACACTTGATGCTTTTCTTGCTGGACCTCATGGATTTCTTTACAGAAACCCCGCTGTTGCTGGGTGCGCGATGGTGCACAAACATTTGCTTAATGGCCAGGTAAATTCTAGAAGATAAGGAAAAGTGTCAGGGCCTGCCTGGATTGACCAAAACTCAAAAGCAGCACAACCCAGGGTCTGGGGTCCTGTGAGATCTGGGCTCAGGCGCGGCCTCCATCAGGAATCCCGATCTCAGAACAAAATTGAGGCCACCTTGAGGGCTCAGAGAGGGAAAATATATATAGTGTGCGTGGCCCAGCACCTGGCAGGAGGGCTGACTTCTGTGGACGGTGCTAGAATTCTTTCCTAAGGTAGACACCTCCCAGATTCCCTCCCAACAGGCTGCAGGGGGGTCCCCACTGAAACAAGGCTGGGCATCCCCCCTGCTGGCTCCCTCAGCTTCTGGGCACCCAAGGTCCAAGCCCAGCTCAGAGTCCCCAAGTGGGAAGCTGGTGACGGTCAGCAGGGTCCGGGTCAAAGCTGTGTGGAAGTGGGTCCGGGGGCTGCGCACGGCCGTCGTATTTTCTAGTATTTCTTCTCGCCTGGGCTGGCAGTCTTGACTTTTTTTCGGAGTATTTGGAATGAGGCAGCTTATCTGATTTCATTCTGCTGGCTATAGGAATCCCAAGCAGGGCTCTGGGGACCCAGGGTCCCTCCAAGTAATCTCTAGTCCCTTCTGTGCCATCATCACCTGCCTCTTGGGGCCATCCTGAGCATAGCTGGGAGGGAGACTGATGGTGTGGCTGGGGCTCTCAGGGGTCCAGGCTGCTGGGTTCCTTCCCAGTTTACTCTGCAGCCAGCCCGCCCTTGGTCTTGGTCTTGGCTGCTCTTGCCCTCTGGACGGAAGCCTGGAACCCTGACCTCATACAGCCCCCTGGGCCACTCGACAGGGCGGGTTCCAAGCCGGCTGAATCCACCCACAGCCAGCAGGACCCTGAGCCAGAGACAGCTGGAGATGGGGGAGAGGGGACTACGGTCAGACAACCCACAGTTGCTGAGAGTGTGTGAGACTTTCATGCCAGCCCTGCCCTTAGTGGGGGGCAGTCGGAGGGGTTTGTAGGAGTAGGCTACCTGGTGGTTTGGGCGGTGGACTGGCTTGGCTCAGAAGGGGGTGGGGCTGTGGCTCTCAGGGGGCTGATCTGGACAGTGCTGGGACTGGAGAAAGTGAACAAGAAGGGGCCATGTGTTACCACCTTGGGACCCCAAAACCCAGAGAGGGCAGGCAACTGGCTAAGGCCACACAGAAGCCGGTGACAGAGCTTGTCGTCTAGTGTCCTTTGACTGCCCAGAAGCTATTCTGATCCCTGCCATGGGAACCCAGCCTACTGTCTGGCTGCTGGATCAAACCAGAGGAAGGGGACTCCAGGATCAAACCAGAAGTTTGAGCTGTGTGCTGGCCCCCACCCTCGCCTCGCCGGCCCAGGAGGTCAGGGGTGGTGGTGCAGGGGTGGGCAGAGCTCTTGCTGGCTCTGTGACCTTGGGCATGCCACTTGAGATAATGGCATTTTGGTTGCGGTGATTTTTCAGGGAGATAATCCTTGTAAAGCACACAGCTTTCATGGTCCTTGTCATCAGTTTGGTGCTTAAAGATGCAGGGAGCGGAATCCTAGGGGCAAGGTCTAGTGCAAGCCACAGCCCATGCTGGCTGCTCAGCGTGGGCCGGACCCTTCCACAGAGCAGAACCTTAGGCCTCCCTCCCTGCAGAGGGAGCAGAGATCCCTGCTCTGTCCCCGCAACAATCAAGAGATGACCAGACAGGAGCTCTTTGTAGACCAAGGGAGTCGCTCTGTTTGAGGGTCTGAGTCTGTTTCACCCATGACCGCGACCACAGCAGACATTCCCTGGTGTGCGTGGACTCTAGAGGGAACCATGTTGGCAGCCCAGACTGGCTTTCTTTGGGGTGCAGCTTCACTGCCCGCACTGGCACAGAGCTTCTGGGGGGCCGGATGGAGCATTTTCCCATGGGCCTTGTGGAGGCAGGAGCCCCTGGAGGATGGGGCTTCATGACTCACCGGCTGTACGGGCCTGAGCACCCCGGGGCTGCTGCCCAGGGTCGACCCCAGCCTGGCCGGCAGCTCTGGGGGCTTCTCTGGGCCAGCACCCCAGTTCCCTCTGGAGCCTTCCCCTCGCCCCAGGGCCAGGCCAGCTTCCAGGGAGGGCAGCTCAGTCTTCGCTATTGTTGTTATAAGGGTCAGGAGCCAAAGTAGAAGGAGACTTGGGTGGACCTGGAGGTCCTGGGGGCCTGCATGGAAATGCACTCTTTTTGGTTTTGCTCTCATTTTTGTAATCATTTTCTGAGCACTTGGCAGGAGCCGGGCAGTGTGCCAGGAGCACTCCGGGTGTTATCTCATGAAATGCTCGCTCTCCTCTTGTGAGTGTCTGTTCCCATTTTACAGAAAACAAGACTCGCAGGGGCTGAGTGAACTGCCTGAAGCCAGCCTCCCTGCCTTTGCCGTGCATGTGCGTGTGCGTGTGTGTGTGTGCGCACTCGCGTGTGTGCGTGCGCAAGTGTGTGTGGGCGTTCTCAGCACTACTGAAGCAGGCAGGACCTGAGCCCGCCTCCTACTCCCCCCCACATAGCTGACATTCCCTGAGCCTTGGTGGCATGGCAGGTGACCCCGGGCCAGCCAGGCCTGGCCTTATATGGCAACGGGACAGATTCTCTCTGCAGCTTCCCACAGGGACACAGAGAGGCAGTGGGACTGGGGGCTGCCCCGCAGAGTGCCCTCATCCTTGGGACTGAGCAGGAGGAGCCCGGAGGACGACGAGGGCTGCATCTCGAACCAGCCAGGGGCTGGAATCTTGAACCAATAACGTGGGTCGTGCCTTTGCTCCATGCCAGTACATCATCTCAGTGACCCTCCGGATGGAGCGCTTGACTAGACAGATGTGCAGGAGGAATCTATAAACATCCCCGTGGGACAGCGATTCCTCAGGCTCATGTTTTAGAGATGAGGAAACAGCTCGGTGAAGTCACCTGCCCAAGGTCACCGAGCCAGGAAGTGGCAGAGCTGGGATGCTGACTCTGACGGCTCCCGTGGCCTGCCCAGGACCCTGTCTGCCAGGTGGCCACGGCTGAGCTGGGACACAAGCCTCTCCTGCTTAGGTGATAAGGATCTCTGGCTACTGTCCCGCCTTCCCAGCCCTCCTGGGTCGAGTCAAGGGCACTTGGCATTCCCTGCAGCGTTCAGGGGCCTAATGGTTATTTCAGAGCCCACACACCGTCTGTACTGGGAAGAGCTGGACAGGGCAGGCTGGGGATCTGTGCCCTGGTGTTCTAGGTCCCCTGTCCTGCCCCAGCATCGGGGACCTCTGAGACCAGAGCAGGGCACGACGCAGGTGTGTCTCTCTCCCTGCGTACCCTGTGCCACCCTGCCTGTCCCTGCCCGGGTGAGTGAGCCCAGCTGGCCTCGCCGGCACCCGTCTCTCTTGCTCTTCCTTAATATATTATAAGGGAGATGGTGATAAGCGGCCACGTGAGCCCCCAAGGATTCAGTGTCCGCGCGGGTACAGCCGGGCTCGACCTTGGCGTGGCCGTGTCACAGGAAGCCGGGGATGGAATTTCTGTCAGGGCCGCTTCATTTGCGTAGTCTGCGGGCTGTTTTCCTTCAGCTGCCCCACCTGCTGGCAAGGATGCTGCATCCACATGAGGCCTCAGAGCCACCATGGGCAATGTGAGCCTGTTGTCCTTGTGGGGGCACCTTCCAGGCTCCCGCTGCGCACCAGGCCTCAGGCCCCGCACGGACCTGGCACTGGCCCTTTAAGAGCCTGTGGGTGGTGTCACAGCCATCTCAGCCCAGGCCCACTATGGTGCTGCCTGTCCTTGGGGGTTTTGCCCAGGGCTGCAGCCACCAGCTCCTTGGATGGCCTCCAAGATGGTGATATCTGCCCGCCCCAAAATTCTGCTGCAGCTGGTCCATAAGGACAAGGACGGAGGGCCGGGAGCGAGCATCCGGGAGCAGGTGCTAGAGGTACCAGCCCGGAAAGAGAGTTAAGGAGGGGGCGTGGGGGAGGGGAGAGCAGGCAGGTGGCAAGGGATCTGGAAGGCCGGACACGGCAGGGGCTGCCAACCTCTGCCAGTCTTGGAAATATTCCCTTCCGGGCATAAGGGCGTAGACGGGGCTCCCAGGGACGGGGGGGGGGGGGCGGGTTCTGATGTGCATCAGAGGTTGGAGAGGACCAAGAGAGGCAGCAGCGAGCAGGTGTGCCTGTGGGCACCGTCCCCTGGGGCTGAGATGGGAGCACTCTGTCCCGTGTGGATGGCCCGTCGCTGCCAAGTCTCCCGGGTGTCCAAGGACAAATCAAAGTTTGCCCTTGCAGAGGGATGGCCCGAGGGTCAAGGCTTACCAGGAGGACTC